CAGGGGCAACACATCGGGTGCGCTGAATGACGTCCCGCCAATGGCTAAGGACGTGATTCAATATGTTAGAAAGGGTTTAGGTGCGAAGCAGTTAAAAGCCGTAGAGCATATCGAGAACCTACCAGTATGAGGTGGTTTGAGGATGACTGAGACGATACTTTCAGTTGCTCGTGGGGGATAAGATGGTGACAGCTTCTGACACCGTATGGTCGAGCTCTCTTTACTCTAGGTTATATCACTCACCATCGAAAGATTTAAACCTTTTTCCCGGTAAAGCCTACGGCGGCGACAATATATATTCATAGCCGCCCTAAGCACTATGCCTTACGGACTTCTTGAATTCACGAAACAGGGAGACACCGAACACGAAAGGCACACAAGAGGATGAGAACAGTGCATACATCAGTCAAAGCAAGAACCTAGTCGAGCTGCAGCTGGTGGAGTGTCCATTAGTTTGGAAGAAAGAAAAAAGGGGGGGGGGGGGAAGCGAGTCTATGGACTCGTCGCTTTTGGGGGATATATCCCCTGACATGATTCGTCTAACTAAAATATTTCTTTTGTTTGGGATTTCTTTTGGTCTTCTTGGCGTATGCAATGATCAATTTTTTGGGCGTTCGGGAGGTACGGAGGCGGTTTCTAAAAAGTTTTCCTGTAGGGTCTTATATCACTTCCCATGAGTTCGAATAGTAGTTCGTAATCGATATTTGTATTGGGTAATAGCTAGTTGGGATGTAGAAAGTGGAAGATGCCATCATTGAGTTGAGGTAATCAGAAGTGGGGTGATTCATGTGCACATGCTCTTGTGCCACTGTTCAATTAGGCTGCATACATACCAAGACTCTCTAAGCCACGAGTGACCCACTGTGAAGCACACCCCTAACCCACGGAACCCTGTGATCCGTGCGCTGCGCCGCAGAGCCTCAGGAGCTATTAAAGACCAGACTACAAATATAAGCAGCAGCCCGTCGAGTCTTTAGCCCTGAATCATCCCCATCTTCCTTCACTTCCCCCCCCGCTTCCCCTAAACAAGAGAAAGGCAAAAATGGCAACCCCAATGACCTCCCGTCCGAAAGATCTTTTTTACTTTCTTTTCTCGGCAATGTTTACAACATCCATGGTCTTCATGGACCTTATCCCGCTCTGGCCCAAGGCCATTCTGCCGCAGGCCCTGAAGGACAACCATACGTGGTATCTTACCACCTTCAACGACCAGCTCATGATCAAGTTTGAGCCTTGGTTTGCGGCCTTCTTGGCGGTCGAGGCCTTATATCAGTTGCCTACAACCATCTGGTTCTTGAGCGCGATTCCAAGTGGTTAGTTGGCCTTTCGCGATTGATGAAGGGATGGCGGCTAATTGAGTGTTTCTGGGAAAGAAAACCCAAAGTTCCCGGCGCGCGCATTGACCTATGCGTCGATCTCGTTTTTGACCACTCTCACAAGCTGCTGGGCCATCTGGAAGGATGGTGATATGACTGAAATGCAGAAGTATATTCTGTTGGGATTCTATGCGCCATTTGCCGGTATCTGTATGTATAGCCTTTATAAAAGTATGAGATGTGAATTGGACTAATTAGCGTGTCTGTGATAGTTGGGTTCATGGCGATGGATATGTCTTGCCGTATTCAAGCGAAGATGGCGCCCAAGGCTGTGAAGGGAAAGAAAAGGGTTTAGATGCAGAAAGATTTTGCGGAAGAGACATGTAGGGATGGAGTAGGAGTTAGATGCGCGCAGGTTAAGAATTATGTAGGAAGATACAAATTTTATCACGGCATTATACAATTGACGAACGCCCTTACGCATATTTGATCCGGTTATTGAGAGAAATTGACCATCAAAAATATCGCCTATCTATCATACAAATGCAGCCTCAATCCTTAATCTCGTTTTATCGCTTTAAATGCAAAAAAGAGTGAAAGGTATCATATTGTACCCATATCGATCCATTCACAAAACCTCCCAACTAAATCATTTTTATTTCGTTTTATGCTCTGCAGAGAAAAAGAAAGGTAAAAAAAAAAAAAAGAAGAAAGCGGTAGAAAATAAAATTGAACCGTAAAAAGAAACAGATGTGGCGCCTCAAGATTAGCACCTGTATCAATGCCTTATCGTATTAGCACCTGTATCATCAAGAGAGATCTGAAATATGAGGTTATTCAACTCACATCTTGTACTCGCAAGAGCCACCAGTGCTCCTATGAGGATCCTCCGCCTCCAACTTGTAATCGATCTTCACATCCAAGTCCCTCCTGTTCCTCTCTGTCGGCTTGCTGCTGATATGACCAACAATGGTCTCCCCACGGTTAACGGTCAGGATCTCCTGAAGGTAGAACACAGTCTGCTTCCAGTGGGTGTATTTGGCATGAGGACCAGTACTGAAGCGGATGGGCTTATGGCAGGCAGTGAACTCTATATCGAACCAGGATATAAGCGCATGGACGAAGTCATTGCGGGTAACAGTTAGCGAGTAAGGAACGCTAAAGGCGAGCTCGGCGGGGGTGACAGTGTAGAGATCGATGGAGAAGATGAGACCGGGGTCGGTGACGATTGCTTTCATTTCAACCGTGTCCACGAGGGGCTCGGCGAGAGCAGTCTTCTGAAGAGGGGAGAAGTTGAACCCGTAGACGTTATTCCAGACTATTATCCTTCATTAGAGAAAGCGCCTAGACACCGCATATTGTTAAGTTGTAAACTCACATCCAATCTTTTCCTCCTTGTAGTCGCCATCTTCAATGGCGGCCATGTAGATATTCGCCTTGTCGGGGAAGATCAATCCACCCGGAGCAAGGTACTTGTCTCTAGCGAGAAGAACGGTGTCCAACATGGATTCGTAGAGGAGGAAGTATCCCATCCATTCCGAGATGATGATATCGACCTTGTCGACAGGAAGGACGACCTCCTCCATTTTTCCCTGGAGAAGGGTGATCTTATCGCTCATGCCATTGACCTCAACAATCTCCCGTGCCTTCTCGATGATGGTGGACATGTCCACACCAATAACATGCTTAGCACCGGCTTTAACGGCGAACCTGAACGCGAGGAAATAAATATTAGCCGGGGAAATCACAGAAAGTTGGGCTTTTGGTAACATGAACTGAAGATGGTATTTTTCTCAGAGGTTATAAAATCAACAGACAAACAGATATCATAATATCGCCTTTTCAGACAGGGATAACTGTAAATTGAAAGTGTTTCTCATCATTGTTGGTGATGCGGCGACGGAAAAAGCAATTTCTTTTTTCCTTTTTTCGGGATGGAAAATTTATGGGCTCCCAGGAGTAAATTGAGCAAGAGAAAGAACTTACATGCTAAGAATGGAAGTTCCACATCCAACATCCAAAACTACCTTGTCCTTGAAAAGGTGGGCATTCTGGTAGATAGCATTCTTATACGAATTGGTGCGCACTTCATCTTTCTAGCAAAGACCAGGGTATCAGCTCTTATCCGAGTAAAAGTGAGAATGGATATAACCAACCAACATCTCCTCGTGGATGCCTTCATTGCAGCGAAATTATGTTAGTTTTTCCGCCTTAACGTTCTGTCTGGCCCCGGGGAAGAAAAACAAAGGAAGGCTGGTTTTATTCCGACGCAATTATTGCAAACTGACCATGATGATTGTAGCTATCCGGGGGAGAGAATTATCAGCATTGTCTTTTCTTCATTGATTCGTTTGTGTCCGGCTGGGGATAGAAAGAAAGGGTAGAACATACCTCTGAAAGTAGTGAACCTCAGAGTGCTCCATTCCCTCCATTTTAGTGGCCATGTTTTCTGAAAAAGTGAAAGGGTTTTCAAAAAATATCCTTGGTAGAAGATGAAAGACAGAGATGGGAAGAAAAAAGAGGGAAAGGGAAGGAGGATGGGAGGATGGAAGGGTGAGGTGGGGTGTGGTTGGTTGTTGCTGACCACTTTAGGGTGGGGAACTTTTTTCTTCCCTCGCCAATTTATTTTTTCTCCCGCTACGAGCAGAGCCGCTTTCTCCTTGCCCGACAACCCAGCGCTGAGATAGATAAGGCAGATAGCAGGGGGTAAATCTACAGCTTGTCTGCCTTAATGCTATCAGGTCCATTTCTGAGAAACGTGTAAGACCACCTACAGCGTAATTTGTTTGTGCACGATATGCCCACCATCACCGCCTAACAATCAAAAAGGGCGGCGACCGCATATTGATAACCAATTTGAACCCCAACCTAGATCATATCAACCAGCGAAGATTTCGGGCCTCAAAACTTTAAAACAGTCATGGAAGAACCATCCCTAACCCCCCCCAAGACACCAAAGGCCGGACCTCCGGTTCAGATAACAATCAAGAATCCCGAATGGGGTTATGCCCGCCTCAAGATGTAAAACTCCCGGTGAAAAGCCTCCATGGATTGAGGGCTGATATTGAAACGGCAGGATTTATGATCCCCCATACACCGCCGAGTCACCCTCATACCCACCTGATATTCTGACCTGGCGCACAACACTCACAATGTGTTTGACACAATTTCTCGGGCTTATGGGGTCGGCTATTCATATTGATATCTTGCATCTCGAGAACGATGAAGCATGGTTGAGGTTGCCGCAGAATGATACGACTATGTTTGCGGCGGCGGTTAGCGGCTATGTTGGTACAATCGAGGGGAAGAGTGTGGGGTTTAAGACACTGGGAATGGGTGACTTCCCGATGGGAGTTGTAGGAAAGGGGGAGGAAGATGCTTTGTGGGCATAGGCATTTAATGGGAGGCCGAAGATTTGTAAGGAAAGGGTACGGTATTGTAAAGAGAATATTTCCTATATTGGATACCGACTGCTAAATGCACTAGCTAACTAAAGCACGGAAATACAGAAAAGAACGATCATAATGCCGCCCACATGACTATAATTGAGAAACATGAAAAGAATAATCAAACACACAAATAGCCAAACAAAAAGCCAGACACTGCAAACCGAACCAGAAACAGAAGAAATTTTTCATTGTCAAACTCCATATTCCCACGCGCGCACAATAAGAAAACCCTTATTCAAACCACCTCCATGACCTTTCCATTGATACCCATTCCATTAAGGATATCCTTTACCATTGCGTCGGCGTATTTTCTCACAGATTTCTCGATGACACTCGCATGCTTAGACTTGGATTCGACGCGGGAAGGAAGCTCTTTACCAAAGATCGAATCCACGATTTCTCCGCCTCTAACGGAAAGGATTGATAAGAGAGTATCACTCAGCTGTACACAGATAAGTATTTATCTTGAACGGGATATATGCGATGGGTCCTTACACCATGTGTGCTCTCACAGCATCCCTGAAGCCAGATACCTGCGTCATCTGCAACAGCGCCCTCTGAAAACTCAACACGATAGTCTCTGCCGACGGCGCAAATGTTGCCCTTCATTAAGCACTTTGCTGACTTCAGCAATGTTTCGTGGACATTTCGGACATAACCAGTCGCAACGATAATCGCATCATATCCAATTGTTGTCTCCACAGAACCTGACCTAGTATTTCGCAACTTGAGATGAATTTCTCCAAGCTTATTTTCTTCACATCCCACAACCTCTTGCAGGGGGACAATGTGGTGTTGCCAAGTAGACTCATCAGAATTTTTGAGACGTTGGTGGTAGATGGTGTCGTAGAGGCGCTCGATCAGCTCGAGACGAACGACACCATAGTTAGTTGCGCGGTCCTGAATGATAGATTCGCGGCGAATATCAGCTGGAAGAGTGTAGAGGGTATCCACACGCTCGGGGTCGAAAATCTCATTGACACTAATATGAAAATTCTGTTAGGTATGGAGCTTCAGGCTTCAGGCAGAAATTGGGGTGTGGTGGGGGGTATTACAAAGGACTATCGTCGCTTGGCCTTAGAGCAGACCCCTTGATGATCAATGAGGTCTTTGAGTTTGGATACCGCGAGTGAATATCATTGAAGATCTCGGCAGCGCTCTGACCACCTCCCACAACAGCGATTTTATAAGCTCTGTCTTTATCGTTCAGCAAGGATGGAACAGCGGTCGAATATCTTGATGAATGGATAACCCTTTCGTTCAATGGGTTCTGAGGGAACACATCTGGAATTCTCGGTTTTCCGCCAACCGCAATGACTACATGCTTTGCAGACAACTTCAGAAGTTCTCCAGTCTCAATGCTCTTTGAAACAACCTCCCAACTCTTAACTGTCTTTCCGCTTGTTTCTGTGGGACTCACGGAAACGCACTCCTGGCCGTATTTTACATAATCCCCGAAATGTGATGCGCACCAGGACATGTAATCGTTGTACTCCTCTCTCAATGGTAAGAAAGTTCCCAGGTTGGTGAATGCAACCAAACGGCCCTTCTGGTGGAGATAGTTGATGAATGTGAATTCGGATCGCGGATTCCGAAGTGTTGCAAGATCTTTGATAAATGAGATTTGCATGCGACTTCCAGGGAGGAGCATGCCAGAGTGCCATGCGAACTTAGACTGACGCTCAATAAAAAGGACGCGCGCATTGGCATGTCGTTCATGGAGGGCAATAGCAATCGCAAGAGATGCTGGACCAAAGCCGACACAGATTAGGTCGTAAGACTCTCCGGAGCTGCCATTGATGTAGCCGTTATTTTGTTCCTTGTATGTCGAGCCATTGCTATAGCCGTTGCTATGACCGTTGCCATGGCCGTTACTATAGCCATTGCTTTTGCCGTTGCTGTAGACATCGCGTGAACCATTGAAGATTGCAGATGATCCATTAGAGAGCTCATTTATGTGACCATTGGTACTACCGTTTTGTGACCCACCCGGTAGAAACCAACTTGCACCATTCGGATGTCCATCAGTGTTGCGCCCGGAGGTGCCGCTACTAGTCCCGTTCTTCTGATTAAAGGTACCGTTGGCGAAGCCGTTGCTACCCGACGTACCATCTATGACGTGATAATATTCAGGCATCGCGTCTGCTTGAGGATTGTGCCAAGAAGAAACTGTTTATTATGGTAGTCTTTCTGATGGGTTTCTGATGACTGCTGAGGCGGAAAGATCTAGGGAACGGCCTTCTATACTTGTCAGTGCACCGATTCTCTATCTATAGGTGCTGGCCAATCAGAGTGTGGGTGTTTATAATCTTCAAGTGATGTGTGATGATGGTTGGATAGAAAAAGCAAAAGCAACCGGAGTGTGAGTGAGATCGAGGGCGCGGATCTGTTTTACTACTACTGACCTATGCGTTTGCTTGCAACGGCGGCGCAGATTTAGAGCTTTGTGTTGCAGAAGCGTAGGGCGCTGAAAGCGGTGCTTAATCTTACAACACGACGTAATACACTAAGCAGGAGCACTGGGCTGTTAATGAATGGGACCTTTTGTCTCATGAATGAGGCCAAAAGCGGTATCAGAAACAGTATAAATTAAAACTTACCTGAGTGATGGTAGAGTTCTTTTCAGATGACAATAGCAATAAGCTACCCTCAAATCTAGCAAATACCCTCAAAGCAAAGGCAAGAATATTTTAACTTAATGTGCTGGTTTGGGGGGGGGGGGACGATTGAGAATAGACAAGTGTGGTTTGTGGTTTGTGTCTTGTGAGCTTCTGTCTATCTTAAGGGATGGTAGGGGAGTGAGTGGCTAGATAACTCAAGCGGATATCCAGATATTTAAGTATGTAGGTGCAATCATCCAGACTGGTTCACATAAAGCTGTGGTCCTGAGCATACATGTGCTTTAGGTCGTGGTCCAAAGGAACTACCACTGCAGGACACGTCCCCCCAAGCTTGTTACATTACCAGGAGTACCAACTAGCTGCCAGCTGGCCTGAGGGAGGCCATGGGTCGAGATCAGATGTTTTTTTCTCGCTTGTAGAGAGGTAAGATGAACAGAAACAAGCGAGAATTTCAAAATCCATAGTATTTTTGGTCGTGAGACAGACCAATTTGAAAAACCATACAACCTCATCCACTCGATCTCACATTCTCTTGAACCAACGTCCAATTAGAAGAATTGTTTTATTGATGACCGATACTGAATTGCATGTGCCTTTTACTTTCTTTTTCAATGTCTTTGCAGAAGAACGTGTTTTTCGTTTAATAATTCCTCGTTAGTAGAACGCTGGGCTCATGGGTTTGAGGTTTCTACGTTGTACAATCAGAACAAGGTAAAATACTCTTCCTTGTTACCACTAGGCGGGCTATTCGGACAAGCCGAAGATTCTAGTTGTGCCATTGTTGCAGGAGCAATAATATCCATAGCCTTTCTCATTGAAGCTCCTCTAGCAGGAAAGGAATAGTAAAAAGGAATCCTCCATACTTGGCAGGCAGTGGCGGAGATGAGGGATTATGGGGAGGAGAAAATTGACGTAATTTAGGCCCAAAAGAAAGACCTTCATATCCTGCTAGGATTCTCAGAGAGTTGAGATCATGATACAGCGTGATGACTGCCTCGGGTTGATTGATTGATTCGATTATCGTAATCAGATCGTAAGATTGAAGTTAAGATAGAATCCCTGCCTGCAGAATCCACGAGGAGGAATTAGTTGCAGCTTGATATCTTTTCCCAATGGGGTTGAAACAGGGCTTTCTTGCACCTTCGTACTAGTTTTTTCCTTGTAACTTCTCAGCTGATCATAATCATATCTATCAATCAAAGCTAGCTGATCTGATAATGTGGATAAGATCGTTAAAAATATCTCGCAATGGATCCAAGGATTCAAGTGGGGGTGTCGTTCTTATGGCGATGTTGCTTTTGAGAGATTCGTCTCTTTCCTTCTTTCCAGGATTGAGGAGGAGGAGTTAGTGAATCATACCAAAAGTTGTGGTGTCACGGCTGGGTCATACGGTGGGACCTGCATTAATCCTTGCAGGACACAGCAGAAAGTGGGTCCATCACAGGATTGCTGGGTCACTGTGCCACTAGATGCACTGCTAGCGATATCTAATCCATCTAGCTGCAGGAATCAGATCATCAAATCTGATAAAAATTTGCAACGCCATGAAGAGCTTCCTGTTTTTGAATGGTTTTTTTTTATTTTTCCCTGTGTCTTTCCCGTCCGTCTACTTAGCCTTCCTCCGTTCCTCCCCGCCTAGACCTTGTGAGATTTGAAACCGTTCTGCCGTTCCTTTGAATTACCGAACAAATTCTTTTAACGAAGCTTCCTCACCAGGCCCCATTGGCGCTCTTTGGGGTAGAAGGGATGTTTGATGATCGGCCCAGAACCTGAATTGGGAATGACGTTTACCAGGGGCACCTCTCACCCCACCATCTGATAAAAAAACACGCAGCCTAGTGATGTGTCTCGAAATTAAGTTATCGTAAATACCATCTCCGAAGTAGATCCTTGCCTAGACCGCACAAATGGCCTACGAATAGCCCACGCGGCACGCAGAAATATACGAGCACACGCGTTTGCCAGCTCGCGAAGGAGTACATACCCGTGCCAAGCAAGAAGCCAAACACAATTTGTCAAGTTCCATACCAGATTGATCTGAGGCTTCCCCACTTCTCTTTCTTCTCCATCACAGGTCCGTCATCAACAAACCTTCTCATGCCTGCAGAGTTGAAAATTTATCAAGGGATCTGATATATTGGGTATGTAGATACACACACCCATGCCCAAGGAGAAAAGGCCCACTTCTCCCATCTTCCCCATGCTCCCTGCAGCGATGAGCAAATTTAATCAATTTATCAGACAATCTAGTAGCACTTAACGAAAAGGGGATATGCGTTTTTCTCCTCGCTTTTATTTTCCTTTGACTATATTTTGAGGGAATATCGCTGGGAAGTTCCTGTTCAACGCAGGGAGATCGAACAGAACTAATCACTCAGGCTCTTACATCGTTGAGTTTTAATAATTAAGCCTTTCTGAGAGTGGGTGTTTCGTCTAGATCTGATAAGTGAGGTGTGTAATACACAATGCCAATATAGGACTGGGAAGAGGATGACCGATATTGTACACGTGCCTCAATTGATCAACTTCATGGTGTTCAGAGGCTATAGACTTGGCGAAATGGTTCCGATTCATTGCCTCGCAAGATCATGCCGCTGTAAGTTCCCGTTCGCCCGATTCCACAGTATAGTAAACCCTTTACGGACGGGAGAATTGCTGGTGAAGACTTAGTAAGAAGTTTCAAAGGATCAGATAAGAGCTCGAACTTGCTTACAATTTATTAGGTACCCCACCTTGATATACGATTCTATTCCGTATGGGGGAGTTCATCAAAAGTCTTCAATGGCCGTAGTAGCGAAGAGTCTTCGGATTTCGAATGTAACGATTAGAGGTGGCATTAGAAAGAATGTTTTGGGGTATGGAGTGGTCTTAAATCGAGGAGACACCGGCCTGTCAGTGCATCATGATTGATCACTCGACCCCTCATCCAGTAACAAAGCATAGCCCTGGGACCAACTGGGATCAAGCGACACGTCCGCTTGCATTAGCACGGGAGATCATCCCTCGAAAGCGAAGATCTGCATATAGAAATCATCGATTCCTGATTGGCGCGAGAATGCAATCCTGCAACCAGGATGACATTATGGGCGTGCGAGAAACTTTGGAGACCAATGGGAACAATATCAGTGGTGTGAGCAAGATCTTTCATATTACCCAAGATACTGGTTCGGTAAATAGAAGGGTGGGTTGTCAATGATTACCAATTATTAATTACATCTATTATTGTGATCCCGGGAAAAACATGGATAAACCACTGTGATTGAGATCGAGGTCACTGGCCACCATAAATGTTCTAAATGATTCTGAGTAACATCATTGACCCTTTTTTGACTCGAGAGCTGGGAGGGATTGTGTTCGGTACCCTGTTGAGCGATGACTAGTGTACAAGATCTGATCTGATCTGATCGCAGATCAGATGAGATGAGATTAGATCTTGAAATACTAGGCGATAAGATACTTCCAGATCAGTTTTTATACAGCCACCATGAGACTTTTGAGATTTGGTTCATTGCGTTCTTGCTAGATCCTCATTCTATATTTCAAATTTCAAATTTACAAATATCACCATCTTTGGTCAGAATGAGATACTGTACCGCACAGTCATGCATGAGGCTGGTACAAAAGGGAAACAAAGACCAATCTGTTTATGGTCCAGCTGGCTTTCAGACCTAGATATATTTGGGGGAGGTCAATGACAGGAACAGAGTTATATCTAAGTGTTAGAAGAAAGATTTTAAAGTGTGGAGGGTGTTAAGTGAGGTTGTCCCCACTATGCCTGAGCAATATTGGTATTTTGTAGCTATATACGGGACAGGAAGATATTGATGCTGACAGATTTTAAGCTCAAGGAATAGAGATGAATGACTGTGGCAAGGCTCGGTTTTTTAGGTACATACATACTCTTCTTTGACTGCAAGAATTCTAACCTCACTGTGCCGTATAGTATACTTGGAATTCTCACTACTCACCTGACTGTATACTCCTAAAATTAATATATATATACGATTCTGGCTACATGTAGCTGTACACGTACATTGCATGCATCACTCCTAGAGGAAACTGACATTTATATCTCAGTATAATTCATCCTTTTACCGTTTGTCCACTTCAAGACTAGATAAAGGCAATTCTACTCACGGAATCATCAAAATCCTTCCTGGGAGTAACTTCTGCAAAATGTGCACTAATACAAATTATTTATTTATCGAGTTATACCATCTCTTATTACTTATATCGCCGACATACAACAACAGAGAACCCAAAACATCCAGGTATTATCCCTTAATATTATATAATCCAGGAATGCTAACATTTACTTGACTTACCTAACATCTGTTCTGCCTCAAATGTACTCAAGCTTGAACTTCTTTATCAACATGCGTTTCAAGCTCAAATTACCCCGCTGCTTCTTTTATCTAACAGACCCGTCATACTTTGGACTCTAATTTGGAATAAATTTAAAATTGATCTTATCAATCAAGCGTTGCAGAATTGAGGTCCGGTTTCAGACATGAAAGATCACTCGTTGTAAGTATTGGATGGAACGGTGCGACAAACATTTTCCAACCCCAGCAGGTCCTGAAACCTCTTTCTCTGAAATAAGTTAATTTATTTTGTGATGGTATATGATCTCTAATCCTTAGAGACAACACATCAAGAGAAAAATACGACCCGCCGATGATCAGCCCATAAACTATCACTCGCATATGTCAACAGATCAGAAGAGGAAACACTACAACGCGTAAGGGCTGAAAGAATATTCTACAGGGTTCCCCAAATATATTGGAGTAAAGCAGTATATACCGTGAGATGCTATCGATACTTCGTATGTCCCTAGTTGCCTTTATTTTCATGTCGTTTCTACAAAAGCTTGAGTGAAACAGAAATTATGCGCTTACCTACTAGTCCTGAGGACCTAAACCCCAACATTTTCGAAAGCCTAAATGGCCATTTACTCCACTATCGACGGCATAATATGCTAAGTAAATTAAACTTTTCTTTCCTTTCCGTGGCATAGATACCAAGGTAACCCTAACCCTAGCGTCTGTAGTTTTGTAATATATAATTCGTACAAGGGTGTAGGACTAGAATTTTCATTATATTGGACACACCTGACCAGGTTTTTTATTATATTTATTTCAATACAGTAAATAACTACGCATATCTACGCATATGTACATATGTTTGGGTAAAATTCGTTGGTCTCGTTAGCCCATAGGAGGTGCACCTTTATATCCCATCGATTACTATAAACACCGTCTAGATACGCCTGAAGTTACCACTGGTGCATTGATACAACTCCAGATAAATATATCTCTGTGGATAAATTTGGTTCACCAGTTTCTACGGCCAACAGCGGAGCGCATGTCTTACTTGTACATATATACGTGCTATACATGTATGTATTTAGGTGAATCTCACTTCAAGATTTATCATTTTGATTCTTTAATAATGTATGCCGGAGGGGTTACAGTGTAATATTTTCCATCTTCCCACTCGTCTCAATATATATAGACGAATTCGAAACAGATGACAATGCTTTAGCTTTAATATTTTCTGTCCATTATATAGCACATTCATTGTTGTACATAATATTTATAATATTATCTTTCGACTTTCCTTAAGGCTTGTCACATTAATGGACTGCAAGAATATTTCGTTTCACACCCAGAATACTTAGATCGATGTACCTACAGTCTCGAGATCTTTGTGTGTACCACTACTGGCAATTTCAAATAGTAACATTTGTAATGCCAAGAACCTCCCCTGACGTATTGCATACAGCATACAGTGACCAGACCTACACCACATAAGGCACACTTCATACCGATCCACTACAAACCCCACTACAAAATCCCAAGCAAACAATTAATTGCGTCAGTCGAAATCACCTGCGTCAGGATAGTCACTTTTCCGTGAGAAATTCCTTTCCATCCCGCGTTTCGCGTTCGGCAGCCGCAATTCCGCTCAAAAACTAGATTACTAGTCGGGGTTGCTGTAGTCGCAGCTCTGCCATTGGTCCGCCTACCACCTTGAAGCCCTAAGCTGAAACTGTAGATCGTGGGTGACCCACGAAAAGAAAAGAAAAAAGGGGACGGGGAAAGCCGTCGGCGGATCTGATAAACCGTCCAAATAGAGTTATCTTTGAGACAGATCCTTGTTGATCTGTTGTGTTACTTGGGCTGCTTCACATGCAGGTTCTAGCGCTGGGGTGAAATTTTTCGTTGGCGGGGTGGGTGTGGAAAAAGAAGAGGAGGGGCTTCGAGACTGTGCCGAGTCAATGGTTTAATGGCTCATAGAAGCCGATCTTGGGAATGACATGCGAGGCGCAATTGAGGGGGATGCGATAGCTACATACCTAGCTAGCTAGGCCAAGAGTGAGGAGGATGAGGGGGGGTTGAAGTCTTTTAGTTGCATTGAGTTTTGTGCAGATATTGCTGCTGAAATCACGATTGTGCTGTCAAGTTAAATAAGGACACCACGGGGTTGCAGTGGATATTCTTCAGACTAGAATGCCGACTGGGTGCAGCTTCTTTACGAGCATGTTTTTGCGCATGTTGGCATTGCCTATCAATCTCATTCCCTGATCGCAATCAAGAGGGGCAAATATGAGCTTGAACTCGTGTCATATCATGACTTCAATACTTTCGTAGATAAAAGACATTTACAAACTCCTATAGTATAGTTAGAACAAAATAAACAAATAAAAAAGTAAACCAAAACCCCGTGATATCCAAAACTTTTCCCAATAATGACAATAATACCCTCACTCATGTTAATGTCTGCTGCTTGCTCATGCCCGCGTAGATTCCCCCCCTCGCCACCAACTCCTCATGTCTCCCTGACTCTACCACTCTTCCAGCCTCAAACACATAGATGCAATCCGCCCGCTGAATACTCGCAAGTCTATGCGCCACAGCAATGCATGTTCTACCTCTACTTACACTCGCGATAGCTTCTTGCACCAGCTTCTCCGAGTGGGAGTCTAACGCAGACGTCGCCTCATCCAGCAGCAGAATCGAGGGATCCCGCATCAGCGCTCTTGCTAATGCAATGCGCTGCTTCTGCCCGCCGGAGAGGAGCGAGCCGTTGGTACCGCAGTCACTGTAAGTTTGTTAGGATTGCGTGTTTGCAACAATATATAGAAATGGAGGAGAAACATACGTATCGTAACCATCGGGCAAACTCATGATAAAATCGTGTAGTCCACACATCTTACAAACTCTCTCTACATCTTCCCTGCCCACGGTTTTTGTCTCTCCCAATCCGAGGCCGACATTGAACGCGATGCTCCCAGGGAACAAACAAGGCTCCTGGCTAACAAGCGATATCCTAGAACGGTGTTGGCTTACAGGAATACTCCTGATGTCAACGTCATCTACTAGCACCGCTCCGGTATCGACATCGTAGAATCGCTCAAGTAGCCCTACGGCGCTGGATTTCCCCGCGCCGGAGTATCCTACGAATGCAACGAATTGCCCGGGCTTGATCGTAAGGGAGAGGCTTTGGAGAACGGGGATATTGGGGCGTGTAGCGTAGCGGAAGTTAACATTGCGGAATTCTACTTTACCAGTGGTGGCTTTACTTTTCTCCACTGAAGTAGGCGTAGGCGCGGGTGTGAACGCAATTGCAGCGGTGGAAACATATTCGAGATCAATAGTGGGCATCTGGTCGTGGAGTTTAAATACGGAGATTGCTGCTGTCCTTGCTCTTGTCACCTCCGGGGCGAGTGAAAACATCTGTCCCGAAGCCTGAGCACTGAACAGTAAAGCAGGCAACACAATGAAAAATTCCAAAGTGCCGTAGTTTCCCTCTCGCACCTGTCTACTACCCCAATAGTATGCCAAGGCGTAAACGAAATAGGTGATGGCTAGCGCAAACGCCAGCCAGAAATTCCCCTGTACAATGAAGCGCAGACTCTCTTGATATGGCTTATCCACGGCTTCGTTGTAGAGTCTTGAAACGTCTTGCTCACGTCCCAATGCGGCGATGGTGCGGATGGCAGTACATGCTTCGGTTGCAAGTGTGGCGGCATCAAGATAAGCGGTTTCATGGCGTTGTTCGAATTTTGCAAGGACACGAAGACGCAGGAAACCGGATACTATCATAACGGGTACTGCAGCGAGGAGGACAATTGCGATTTTCCAGGCTACAACGTGGGCAAGTACGATACCACCGATCATGGAGGTTGCGACGGAGAATATCGTACCCAGGATGACACCGGAAAGACCAGAGAGATGGCCGGTATCCATGTTAAGCATACTCATGAGTGCTCCAGGGGAATGAGAGGGCACTTGGAACCACGATATATCCTGTCGGAGTATTGTGCGGAGGGAGCGGTCACGAATGCGGCGAATGAGACGCTCAGAAACAATACCGAAGGCAGTTCCAGAGATGGTATAGGCGCACAAAGCGATAAGGGCAAGGATAAAAAAGATCAGCGAGAAAAAGTCAGCACGGGACTGCATAGTTCCCTCAGACTTTGAGTTCAGGATGTGGATGAGGTTTCCGAAGACGATAGATTCCCCAAGAATGATAGCACCAGTTACTAAACTTGCGCAAAGACCCAAAGCTACGATGGGCCAGTCGGGCTTACTGATCAATAGACAGCGTTTCAGAAGTTGTTTAGAGGAGTAAGAGATGGGAGTATCATCGTCCGAAGCAACTTCTTCTTTTGTAGCCTCGAAGTCTCCTTTCTCGCCGACACGTTCTGGATCTTCTTCGACTCTGGTTTTGGCCGAGCTGAGACTACTGGCCGAACTGTTCCCACCTAAAAGTCTCTGCGCCTTCACTAGCTCATAGTATGCGCCCTTCCGGGACACGAGCTCCTCATGTGTACCCTCCTCAATAACAGTTCCAAAAGACATGACAACAATTTTGTCTGCCCCTCTCACTGTCGCAAGTCTATGCGCAATCATTACCATCGTTCTTCCACTTCCTTCACGAGCTCGCTCAAGTGCATCTTGAACAACCGCCTCACTGCTCGCATCAAGGGCACTAGTCGGCTCATCAAGTACCAGCACCTCAGGTTCAGCCACGAGAGCTCGAGCTAGCGCAACTCTCTGTCTCTGTCCTCCGGAGAGCTGTGTAGCGCCGCTGCCGCCGATCTTGGTGTTAAACCCCTCTGGGAGCGCGCTGATGAAGTCGTGTGCGTTTGCATTCTTCGCGGCCTGTAAGCACAATTGCTCTTTTGTTTCCAGAGACATATCTCCTTTGTGTAGTAGACCGTGCTGGATGTTTTCCATGATAGTTCCGGCGAAGAGGACAGGTTCTTGATCAACGAGTGCCAGGTGGCGGCGGTAGTCTCGTAGGTTCAAATCCTTCAGATCACGACCGCCGATAAGAACGCGCCCAGAGACGGGATCGTAGAATCGCATCAATAGCGCCGCAACCGTACTCTTTCCGCTGCCACTGGCGCCCACAACTGCAGTGAGTTTCCCCGCAGGAAAGGTCATGCTGACGTTCTTCACAACCTCCACATCCCTAGTCGGGTACCGGAAGGTTACATTCTCCAGTGTGATATCATTGGCTTCCGGCGGTGTCGGCATGGGATCTCCAACGTTAGAATAAACATTGATCCCCGTCTCCGGGCTATCAAGTAATGCAATAATCTTTTCCCCGGCCGCGGCCGCGAGTGCAAATGTTTGCAGGAACGGCCCAAAAGAGCCTACAACGAAGGAGGCGTCAAGAATAAGGAAAACAACAGTATAGATAGTCCCAGCTCCTTCGCTACCCTTAAAGAGACCCTTTACTATCTGACGGGAACCTTCCCAGAACGCGAGAGCGTTGGCGGAGTAGCTATTTTTAGTAACATTATTATCAGTACGAATTACATAAGCTAATTAGTAGCCTGGGCTAGGGTTGGCGAATAGTAGGAGACTTACGCAACAAAGAAAACCAACGCTAGCATCGCTGCACCCGCGACAGCCCTTCGAACACCACAAGCTACCGCAGGCCCCATCAATTCCCAGTGCTTTCCGGCCAGTAAATTAGCTGCCCCAAAAGCCTGCACTACCTGTACTGCGGTAATTGCGCCCTCTGCGACAGATGTAGCTTTCTCCGAGTAATCGACAGCTCGCTTTGCATATTTTGAAACGATCTTAGAACCGCCATAGACGACCAAAAACATTGCAGGAACAACGCCGACAAAAAGGATTCCCGTAAGGCGAGCATTGAGAATAAAACCGGTGATAAATGCCGCGAGAAAGTAGGCAACGGATTGAAGGAAGAGACCAACTTTTTCGGAAGTGCCGAGTTGGATGGTTTGCGTGTCGGCCGTAAGGCGATGCGCGATCTAGTTGGGAACTTTGTGAGTAGTGGAGACATAAAAGGGTATGAGTGGTACGCACATCTAGAGATTCACTATCCCACCATCCAACCTCCATTCCAACAGCTCTCTGTAATAGCCGCACCCGTAGTCCTCTAGCGACACGCTCCCCGATCATACCCCAGGCCGTCGCCCACCCCCATGTTATGAAGAAATACGCCACCGCCACGCCGAGCAGCTGGCCAATACGTGTGTTAATCTCATCCGCGGTGGGAGGGAATGAATTAATTATCTTTCCGAAGATGACACCGATGATGGGGAGGGGCGCCCCCGCAGCGAGAGCGAGAATGATAGCTGCAGCAAGAATACAGCGGTCTTTCACGGAGGTGAGTGGTCGGTATAGGGTTAGGTAACTAGAGTGCAGGCGGTGGAGTGGAACGGGGGTCGTGGATGAGGGTTGGATAGGTTTGGTTGTAGGTAGAGGCGGTAAAGAGAGCGTAGGATCAGGCTGTGTGGCGGTGGTGGTAAGGTGAGGGAGGTCGAGACTCCCTTCGCGCTGGGGTGCAGCCATTGAGGCAGGAGGAAGTATAGTTCGTGAATTGCGTGAGGCCGTGAGATATCGTGGACAATAATTCTATCGTAGCGTAGGGTCTGAATATGGTTGTCAGTAAACTCGTGAGGGCACCCGTAAGACCCTGAAAGGAGTATCAATCAAAACTGAATAATCATTGACAATACATAAATCGTAAAATTGAAACGCAAAGACCGAAAAAATTGTCAGGAGGAAGAAGAAAATTACCTTGAGGCTATGAGGGTGGGTATAACTATAAAAAAAAAATACAGCTCGATACTCTATCGCAGAGTACGGTATGTAGGTCAGAAAACAAAAAAGACAAAGCGCAAATAAAGTCTTCCCAGCAGCTTGCGAGAGAGCGGAAGTAAGCGGGCAATTGAAGCAAGAAAAGGAATTTACCGAGAAAGAGAAAATCCTCGCTCACTCGTGACAGGAATCCGCCGAATTTTAGTACTTACTCCCTTTTCCCTCATCTACCCTGGCGGTGGGAAACCGGATCTGATAACCACTCTACCTAGGTATCTGACCCCCTCTCACTTGACGTCCCTACTGCCTCCTGCCATCTGCCAGATGAAGTTAAGTTATCAGATCCGTCACCCTGCATCGTAGTACTAGTTAGTGGGATCGTAGTGGCAAAGAATGAGTGAATTATTATCAGATCGTGGGGTGGAGATGTGGGAGAGACGGCACAGTAGTAGTGATTTGCGATGACGGTGAACTGCCCATCTCAACTGACCCGAATGACAAACGACAGATGATGAAGGTCAAGGTGAATAGCTTCTGGATCTGGGGAACCTGATGGCGAGGCATTGGAGGCTGCTTTGTGGAGCTCACTACATGCATACATGTGCCTTGAAGATTGATTGAAGGGGTAGAGAAGGTGTTTCAAAAGAGATATTTTCGGAGACGCCGTGCTAGTACAGTAGGTTCTGTCCACATCTCTGCCGTGTGCCCACTTGATGCCCTTTGAGGAGCTGGGTCCAGCTCAGAATTTACTCTACTCTAGTATTACACGCGTGCATACACGTATGCACAATATAAAGCTACAGAATCCAATTGATCAAAAATTTTCCCTGTCACAGAAAGAGAAGCAGGAACTGAACAGTACAGTCCAGATTGTCAAATCCTTGCGTTATTGTTGCCAAGCAAATTAGATCAGATATGCGTAGGTGCATGTATGTAGCGAAATTGGAATGTTGATCAAAATTTTCCCTGTCACGGTCCCATGGACACCGTTACATTTTGGACTAGGATCTCCTTGAGTTACTTGCTTCCACAAAAATCCTGTAGGCACCTGTCGCTAAGGATCTTTTAGATTGAAGCCTTAGAGAAGCGGAATTAAACCAGGGAAGGATCATGATCAGATATCGTTTCATACTTGGCGATAGTTAGCTTCAATTACCTTGGCCTGTGTATTGTAACTTTGTTACATTTAGCCTAGAGCAGACAAAGAGATCTAGAAGTAAACGACGATAAAGGGGTTTTGACCTTTGGCTGCACAATTTCACCTCATCTTTATTTGGTGCTTACAGACACGCCCATATACTAACTACATGTACTTCTCTATTGCACCAGGCTATACGAATCCATTGGTTTCTTTAACTAACGAGATATATACTATACCAAGTAATTGTATGTACGTACCTGAAAATCGACCAATATCTATGTAATAGTACCCCATTGACACCAAGTCTAGCCACGGATCCCTCTACTAGGCAGCTGAATATCTGTGGGACTAATTCCGTCAATTTTATTGACTTTACTAGGTTTGTTTGGACCAGTCACGGCGTATCAGTTGGATCGTGTCGTTTCGAAGAAAGGATCTGATACCGAGGTAGAAAAAGCACTGGGAAGAAAGAAAAATCAGATATCGGCAATTTATTCCCAAGCCCTTTCTTCATGCAGCTCGACCCCCGATATTCCCCTTTTGATCATCGGAGTCGTTTAAACCAAAGTATGTACGTAAATTTTCATCTGGTCGTCGAGCTAAGACTTATGAAGGATCTGATAACCCCACCTATCACATTCAGACCCCTGCCTGCATGGTAAAATGCAGGTTGGGCAGCCGATTGATTGATGTGATTGATAACTGGTTTGTCTAATCAATCAATCAATCAATATCCGATTGACTCTGACCCGTAGAATGTGTGTGTGGGGCTGGACTTCAGAGTCAAGGTCAGAGCCGGTCCGGGTCAAAAACAGGGGCAGAGTCACGGTCCTTGGTTACTAGTTGTGGATTAAGCGAGTCACTGGTCGATGAGGGTCAGCTGTCGTATCAACGCGTCATTACCCGCATACCCCACCACCTTACTGACCTTAGGTGCAGAGAAGAACACAAAGACTGACAGACGGACAGGCAGCAAACAAACAGAACGCACGAAAGAAAGAGAGTGAGCGAACGATAGACGTGTAGCAATACAAGCAACGTGATAGGTCGCGCCTCTACACTGTGTAATTGCTTTTCCATTCAAGCAAAATCGTGTGGTTGGTTGGTTGGAGGCAGCTTTGGTAGGTATGACAGGAGTGCACATGGCTTGTGTGCTACATGGTTTACTACCGCCTAGCTAGACTATAGACTGGGTTGGACTCGAACCCTTCTGCGAAATTATTACTGTACGATCGTGGTTTATAACTCCTACCCAAAGTCGGGAGGATCCACAACTCTGCTGCGACTCTACTGCGCGAAGGATAGAAGCTTTTGTTACTTTAGAGTGCTGTGCTGCTATCAGATCTATGCAGCTACATTCATCTGCTTCTGCTTCTCACACGACATATCACTTCAATTGGACTGTTTTGGAAAGAAAGTACCACACGATAATTCCTAGCTCTTTATTCCCACTTCAAACTGCTTTCCAACATACAATACACAATATATACTACAGCAGGCTATTTCTGTAACTCTTCCCTTCCTCAGAAGAAGCTTCGGCTGCGTACTCACTTGATGAAAGCTATATACTAACACCTTGCGAAAATCATCACCTAGAAAATGTCCAAACACTACCGCTTCACTGCCTTCCCAACCCTTCATACCCTCCACGGTTCTCCCAGCATACTTACCGCACCCATCGCTCTCCCACAAGGCTGTACGAACGACCAGGTTGTAGCATCATGGGCGCACCTTCTCCGCGGTTACTGCGGTACCGACACTGTTGTATTCAGGGTGAATGGGATAACCTCGGGAGTTGAATTTGCAGAAGATGGGAGTATGGGTTGGATTTCAAAAGGGAGTGTGGAGAATCCTTCGGGCGGACGGTGGACAGGAGTCTTTTTAAATTCTGAAGGCTTTAATGTAAGTTTACTACAGGATATTTCTAGAGAAAAACAGAGCGCTGATTCTAATCCGATATGTCAACTGTAGCCCCTGGATTCGCAGCTGTATTTGACTGTAGACGGCGGATCTGCGATGGCATATATCAATATCTCGACAGCGGTGGTACCGGAGAGTTACATCCACATAATTTGTACACATCTTCACCACCTTTTTGCCTCCACTGCTCATTCAGTACACACCTTGTCGGTTCTTAACCCCACCCCGCGACATCTCCCCGGACCTACTCTTCTCCACAACCTCATCACCTTCTCCACTCACGATAGCCTCCCTGCGCTTGAATTTCTCCACTCCAACTCCTCGCAGAGTACTTATAGCTACGCGGATCTCGACATTCTCTCGACGCAGTTTGCCCTAAAGCTCCTTCCGCATACTACACCTACCCAGCGCCTAATCCCTGTACTTCTCCAGCAGTCACCAACTCTTTACATTGCCCTCATCGGTATTCTCAAGGCAGGATGCGCATTTGTTCCGTTACCTCTAGACGCACCTCCTCAGAGACTACAATTCATTGTCGATGACATCAAAGCGCCATGTATTGTCTGCGATCCTGCTTCACCTCCGGTTCCAAATCTCCCATGTGTCACACCGGACGAAGACACCCCCACCTTCTCACTGGCCAGCCTAATGGAACTCCCCACGACGATCTCACCGAGTGACCCAGCGTATGTAATGTACACCAGCGGCACAACCGGAACACCCAAGGGCGTTCTCGTCAGTCACTACGCTGCGGCACAGAGCTTGCTAGCGCAAGACGTGCTCGTACCGAAAAGTGTCGGGAGGTGGTTACAACAAGCGGCGCCGACATTCGATGTCTTTGTCTTTGAGATGTTCTTCCCGTTAATGCGCGGAATTGTGTTGGTAGGATGTGAGCGTGCGGTTATGTTGCGTGACCTTCCGGGCGTAGTGAGGAGAATGGCCGTGGACGTGGTGGAGCTTACGCCGACAGTTGCAGGAGGCTTATTAGGGAAACGCGAGGATATTCCGGGCTTGAAGTGTTTGTTGACGATTGGAGAAATGTTGACAAAGGGAGTGGTAGATATGTGGAAGGATATGTTGGTGGGGATGTATGGGCCTACTGAAGCAGCAATCCACTGTACGGCCTCTACTGCGGTCGAAAGGGTTGGCGATATTGGCATACCCTTTGAGACTGTGTCAGCATTCGTCATCGCCCCCTACAAAGGTAGTGAAATTGAAGTTCTCCCCGTAGGTTGTGTGGGCGAGCTTGTGGTAGGAGGGCCACAGTTGGCAGATGGATATATCAACCGCCCAGAACAAACGCGAGAAGTATTCATCAACTCAACTCGATTCGGCCGATTGTATCGGACCGGTGACCGAGCTCGGGTTCTCCCGAGCGGAGCAATTGAGTGTCTAGGCCGTATTGGGGCTGGTCAGGTCAAAATGCACGGCCAGCGTATTGAGCTTGGAGAGATCGAGGAAGTTGTTCTCAAGACGCCAGGAGTCAAAGCATGTGTGGCCAATGTGATTAAGAATACTCTTGTCATCTGGGTCAGCGGCGCAACTTCAAAATTGGCAATCATTGAGACGTGCAAAAAATGGTTACCGGCGTACATGATCCCTGGCGACATCCTTATTCTCCCTACGCTCCCCCGTCTTGCTTCCGGAAAGGCAGACAGAAAACTCTTGGAGGCAGACTACAAGAATAGGATCATTGAACCTCAAGTAGTAACGGAAGATATGAACGCCGTTGAGCGAGTGATCGCCCATGAAGCATCACTTCTTCTTGGCGCTGCGCCCGGCAAGGAAGTCAGTCTTGTTTCGCGTGGGCTTGACTCAATGCAGGCCATTCGCCTAGCTATCGCGCTTCGGAAACGAGGCCTTGAAGTGGAGACAGTAGATGTGATTAGGTCTGACACAATCTCTGGTATTGCAGCAGGTATTGAGAAGAGTGTGGGTGCACCCCCGAGAGTCGTGAATGCAGCTGCCCAGAGGCGATTCGAGGAGGTCGCGAACGCTTCAAGAGAATTACACGAGGACCAGAACGTGCTGAAGGTTATTCCGTGTACTTCTGTGCAGGCCGCTATGCTCTCAGAAACAGCGAAAGATAGCGCCGCATACTGTAATTGGATGCTACTCTCCTTGCCACCGAACAGCAACGCAGCTGCAGTAGAAGCTGCTGTCAGAAAGATTATCGATGCCAATGAGATTCTGCGCACCGGGTTTGTAGTCCTGGAAGGTGGGTTCGCGCAGGTAGTATATCGTACCTCTTACCCATCTCAATTTACCCTATCGAACACGATTGAGAAGAACTGGAGCGTTTCCGTTCCCCAGCTGCTGTCGCCACCTTTCAGAGTATCTCTTGTTGATGGTCAACTAAGCGTTCAAATCCACCATGCACTCTACGACGGTTGGTGTTGGGACAATATCATGTACGATCTTGCCGCACACCTTTCCAGACGCCCCGTAGCTCCACGTCCACAGTACCAAGTTGTTGTAGAGGGCGAATTGGCCACAGATAACTCCAGCAGTATCGATTACTGGCGAAAGGCCCTGTCCGGAATTGAGCCGGTGCCCTTCCCATGCTTAACAGGGAAGAGTGACGTGGTTGATGAGGTGCGCCAGGAGACTGCTACGATGAGTACCGGGAAAGAAGCATACGAGGGTGCTGCAAGAAAGTTTGGTGTGGCGCCAGTGGTTTTGGTACAGGCTGCATGGGCCATGTTGTGGTCATTATACGTTGGCGAAAGCGACGTTGTTGTAGGAAATACTCTCTCTGGTAGGACAATTCCCTTAGAGGGGGTTGAGGATGTAATCGGGCCAATGATTGTCACTGTGCCGGTTAGGGTAAACGTGAGGAGACAGCGTAGTGTGAGAGAGGTTGTAAGCGAGGTTGCGAAGCGTGGGAGAGAAGTTTTGGGGAATGAGATTGGACTGAGAGAGGTAAAGAAGGCCTGGGGTGGTGAGGGTAGACTTTTTGAGAGTTTGCTTGTCTGGCAACAGGAGTCTTTGACTGCTGAAGGAAGCGTGAGGGTCGTCGATTTGAAAGATATGCTAGAGGCGAGTGATACCCTATGATCAACTCTGGAAAATTACTAACATTACCTGTAGTTCCCGATTCTCCTCGAAGTTACACCTGGTACTGCTGATATATCCCTACGAGCAACCTATCAAACTTCCATTCTTCCGCCTGCCCACGCAGCACTGATATTAGCCCAACTCGACCAATTTGTCACTTCGATCATTTCCCACCCCGACCGGACCCTCACAGACCTCCTTCAATCCCTTCCATCATCTGCTCTGTCTATTGAGAATCCCCATCCCGTAACTTCCTCAATAGCCTCTACACCTTCCATCTCTCACCTCGTCGAACTCGCTGCTTCCCGCAACCCAAATGCAATCGCGATTGACTTTGCAGATGACATCATTGGCACCACTACTGAATCTACAACACTAACCTACCAAACCTTCAACACCAACGCTAATAAACTAGCCTATCATCTACTCTCTCTTGGTGCGAAACCGGACACACTTATATCAATCTGCATGGAAAAATCGCCAATCCTCTACATCTCTATCCTTGCCATCCTTAAATCCGGTGCCGCCTATGCTCCTATAACCCCAGAGACTCCAAACGAGAGAAAGAACCAGATTATAGAAAGCGGCGATGTACGTATTCATCTTACCACTAGCGACCTCGCCCCGCAACTTTCAGGCGTGCCACAGGGCGTCATGGTAGTTTGCGTGGACATGGTAAATACACTCTGGTATTCCGAGGCAAACCCAGATGTTCAAAGATCCGAGAGAGACCTGGCATACGCGGTTTTTACCTCCGGGAGTACAGGAAAGCCAAAGGGTGTGTTGGTGGAGAATCATGCGATTGTGAACCATCTTAGACTGCTCGCAGAGATGTACCCGGCAGCGTTAGGGAAGAGGCTGTTACAGTTCTGTACCGTTGCCTTTGATGTGTCGGTGTTTGAGCTATTTTTTACGTGGGCAATGGGCATGACACTCTGTGTAGCAAGGAAGGATGTGCTGCTACGTGATATCGAGAGCGCCATAAACGCCTTCAAGATCACACATCTGAGTATGACAGCTACTGTCGCGGCGCTAGTCAACCCTGATAATGTACCGTCTGTGGAATTTCTCGTTACTGCCGGAGAAGGTCTTAACAGGAAGGTGTTTGAGGCCTGGACTGGTAGAGGATTCTGGGCCGGGTATGGACCAAGTGAGATGGTGAACATCTGCACGGTAAGACCGAATTTGAGAAAGGGAGATCATATTAATACACTAGGAGAAACATTTGCCAACACCTCTACCTTCGTAATTTCTCAAGATGAAGATGAGTTCTGTTTGCTCCCTAGCGGTGCAGTTGGAGAGCTTTGTTTCGGAGGTGCTCAAGTCGTAGGTTTACTCATGGCGATGCCGTTGGTTTGGAATTTGATTCTGATAGCTATGGAATATAGGCACGCGGATACCTCAAGCAGCCCGAGCTTACCGCCCAAAAGTTCCCCACCCATCCCACATATGGTCGTGTTTACCGTTCCGGTGATATCGGGCGTCTCCTCTCCGACGGGTCACTCGAGTTTGTCGGCCGCATAGACGATCAAGTTAAGATTCGCGGGCACCGTATTGAGCTGGGTGAAATTACCTCCATTCTCCTGCGTTCAGCAACTGTTCTTGATGCTGCCGCTATCCCAGTGAGAAAATCTTCGACAGATCCGTATCTACTTGTTGCATTCGTTCTCCTTGTATCTCATCGGGACAAGGAGTTTGGTGTTGTAAAGGCAGACCAAGGGGTTCGTGAGATACTGGGCGTATTGTTCGAGGCGCTATCAGCTTCCCTACCAGAGTACATGATTCCTGCGGTGTTGCTACCCGTGACGACAATCCCGATGACTGCAACAGGAAAGATTGACAAAAAGATTCTCGAAAAGATATTCTTCGACATCGATACCGCTACAGTTGAATCGTACAGCGAGGAATCTGGTAAGGAAGTCGATGCGCAGTGGACACAGGTTGAGATGGAGATCGTTGGGATTGTTGCCGATGTTGCGCAAGTAACCGTTAGTGAAATTGGTAGAGGGACGTCGATCTTCAAGCTCGGACTGGATTCAATCTCAGTGATTCAGTTATCAAATCGCATCATGAAGGCAGGCTACAAGAGATTAGATGTGTCACAGATTATGAAGAATCCGACTGTTGGTGCTCTTGCCACCTTGCCTAGGGAAAAGGATGAAGGGCAGGCCGCTACCAAGATTATTCGAGAGGATTCGTTGAAGCTGTTTGCTGAGAGTGTTAAAGCGACGGCCATCGAGCAGCTCGGTGTAGCCCCAGAAGACATCATGAAAATATTGCCTTGCTCCCCACTACAAGAGGCCATGTTGACACAAAAGAAAGGCGTTGATGCGAGCACTTATTACAACCACACCGTCCTGCATCTTCGGGCTGACCCTGCACACTTGAGAAAGGCATGGGAGCTCATGGCCGAGAGACATGATATCATGAGGACCTGCTTCTGTGTCACCGAGGATTCGAGACATGCGTACGCGCAGGTCGTACTCAAGAAACATGACCTGCCGTGGACTACCTTTGAGGTAGAGGCGACGCGGGAGCAAATCGACCAGCGTATCAGTGAAATCTCAGCATCTATGAGCATCAACAGTGCTCCATATGCATTTTCATTGTTTGCAGGGGCGACTTTGGTCATGTCGTTCCACCACTCCCTTTACGATGGTTATGCAATGGGTCTCCTGCTTGACGATGTGCGAAGCGCTTATCTAGGACTACAGCTCCCAATACGACGTCCTTTTGATCGCGTGTTGGAGTATATGGAGAACATTGACCTCGAAGCATCTGACATTTTCTGGAAGGGCCTACTGACTGGTTTCGAAGCTTCTGCATTCCCAGATATAACAGGCAAGACAGCACTATTCAAAGAAGAAACTAAACTTACAGGTATGACGGCAGCAAGAATGACTTGTTCAAAGACGTTGAGTGAAATTGAGGAGGGCTGTAGAGAAATCTCAACCTCGCTGTTGGCATTAGGACAGACCGGATGGGCAAGGTTATTGGCGGCCTATTCCGGAGAAACCGATGTTTGTTTTGGTAGTGTTGTGAGCGGAAGGACCATCCCTGTGGAGGGAGTGGAGGACGTTATTGCCCCGTGCTTTAATACAGTCCCGTTGAGAGTACAGCTAACCCCAGGTGCTACTAATTTAACGGTTATGAATAGTATCAGGGGTCTTAATGCGGATATTCTGCCGTATCAGCTAACCCCGTTGAGAAGGATCATGAACACGCTGAAGACTGAGGGCCAGGGCCTATTTGATACCCTATTTATCTTGCAGTATGCGAATGAGGCATTAGCAGACTTGTGGGAAGAAGTCGACGACCGCGGGGAGATGGATGTGAGTTCTTAATTAATAGCAATATAGCCTAGATATTGTTGCTGATAGTGGATAGTTCTCCGTCGTTGTCGAGCTTGTACCTAATCGCAATAGAAACAGCTTAGACATTGTTCTTTACTTCCGCCGGTGTGTAACCTACTATAATATTTATCAGGTAGGGTTGGGACTAACATAGTGTAGGAATATCATACTCGAGGAGCAAGTTGATTTGATGATTCAGCAGTTGAATGCGGCGATCATTGACTCCCTACAATATCCTGATGAGCTCGCGATAAACTTCCAAACATTCAAGCCATCAATCTTGGCGAGGGCAAACGACAAGCCGCTCAATCTCGAAAGCGAAGGCTACGATTTACTACACTCTGAATTTGAGCGCCATGCCCGCGAGAACCCATCACATGTCGCACTTGAATTCCTTGACAACGACTGCAAAATCACAAGCTGGACATTCCGCGAACTCAATGAAGCCGCAAATCGAGTCGCTCATTACCTTGTCTCTCTGGGGCTAAAGCGTGACGAGGCTGTACCGCTATGCCTCGAGAAGTCTCCGTTATTCTATATTTGTATTTTGGGTGTGTTGAAGGCCGGGTGCGCATTCACGCCAATCGATCCTACACTGCCAGATCAGAGGAAAATGTTTATGGTAGAGGAACTTGGGGCGAGGGTTGTGCTTGTTACTGCTGCTACGGCAGGGGGTATGGGACGTGTGGCAATGGTGGATGTTGAGAGTGGGGTCATGGATTCTCAACCGGTTACGAATTTAAGCATTAGGGGTCTTACGTCGAGATGCTTAGCCTATAGACTTTATACTTCAGGTAAGTCGATCCATATCAGTGATTCAAACGTATATTTATTGATTGTTTTTATCAGGCTCCACTGGTCAGCCAAAAGCTGTCTCCGTTGAAATCAAGAGCGCTGTACAAACTTTCCGCGCCTCAAAGCCCCTCATCCCATGGAAATCGGATTCAAGACTCCTCCAATTCGCTGCAACCACCTTTGATATGTGCTACTACGACTGCTTCATGGCGTGGAGTTATGGGTTTACACTTTGTTCCGCGGCGAAGAAACATCTCCTTGGTGACCTCGAAGGGACTATCAAGACCATGAAAGCAACCCTTTTGGATCTGACACCGACTGTTGCAGCTACTCTTGTTGTAGAAAATCTTACGACTGTGGAGATGCTGTATTGTATTGGAGAGGCAATGCCGCAGAAGGTGGTCAATGATTGGGACGGAAGATGCGTTAACTCTTACGGACCTACTGGTATGTTTTGGCTGAAGAAGCTTGGTTGAAGGCGTATGAACCTAATTAACTGGCAATTGTAGAGGCGGCAATGTGTTGTACAATCACAGCCACAAACAGGCACACAAAATCTTCCAACATCGGCAAACCATTCCCTACAGCAAGTTTCTTCGTTCTCTCCCGCCGCGGAGAGTATGTGGTCCCTATTTTCGGTAGCGGCGAGCTCTGTATTGGAGGGCCACAAGTAGCACGCGAATATCACAACAACATACAGCTTACAAAACGCCAATTTATTCAATTGGAGGGGGGTACGGTATACAGGACTGGTGATCTTGTTCGCATGCTGGGAGACGGAACTTTTGAGTTTCTTGGGCGTGCAGACGACCAGGTGAAGATTCGCGGGTTGCGGGTTGAACTAGATGAAATCAGTTCTGTTTTAAGGAGCGGACACAGGGATATTAAGGATGCGACAACGATCGTGGTTAAGCACAGCGAAGGAGCAAAGGAGCAGCTCGTGTCCTTCCTAGCCGTTGAGGGTAGAAAACAACATGGATCAAAGCCTAAAGTATTGAAGGCCGGCTCACTAACCGAAGAAATCCAAAGCTCGGCGTTGAAGGCGGCGAGGGCCAAACTGCCAAGATACATGATCCCGGCGGTTATTTTGATCATTGACCATGTTCCACGTTCAGCAGCAGGAAAGGTTGATAAGAAAACATTAGGAGCGTTTTTTAGGGAACAAGATATCCAGTCATTTGGGGCTGCGGGTGTAGAGGAGGATGAGAGTGTGTGGACTGAGGAAGAAAAGAAGATCAGAAGTGTGTTTTCTCAGATATCGAGGGTTCCAGTTGAGCAAATTTCTCGGAACTCTACTATTTATGAAATCGGGCTTGATAGTATCAGTGCTGCTCAGGTCGCGATGCAGTTGAAGCGTATTGGTTTGGAAATCTCAGTTTTGGATATTCTTGAGGTATGTATTCATGGAAAGCAGGAGGGAGAAATATTACTGACAACACTTAGCGACCATCTATAAAACAATTATCAAAGCTACTCACTACAGATAGCAAACATATCGAAGCTAACAGTCAGAATTCTGATGACTACCTGGTGAATTTCAACGACCAATTCATGGATCAAATTCTCAAGGACACGGGTATCGCAAAAGACAGAATCGCCGGGGTATTCCCGTGTACGCCGGCGCAAGAGGGAATGCTATCACAGTTTCTGCGTTCTAAAGGCGGCCTATATTTCAATCACTCTGTCTTCAAACTACCCCAGAATGTCGACTTGAGTCGCCTGCGCGAGTCTTGGAATGCTGTCTCTGACTCGCACGACATGCTCCGTGCTGGTTTCGTTGAGGTTGAACACAATACACATGCTTTTGCTACCATTATCTATGGTCAGGGTTCCGTTGACCTGCCGTGGGCTATAGTGGATAACCGAGAGAATAAGGATACTGTGCTCTCTGCACAAAAGGAGCTCGGGGCTTCTCGCGCGCTTGAGAATCTCCACCTCCCGCCATGGAGTGTCACTGTGATTAGAGAAAGTGACGTGAAATCACTACTGCTGTTTTCTGCACACCATGCTTTGTACGACGCAGAAACCTTAAGTCTTTTCCTCGACGATGTTTTCTCTGAGTATTCTGGTAAACGTGTCGCTTCCCGCCCCAAATTTTCTGCTGTTCTTAGCAACATTGTGAAGCATTCACTGGATGCCGAGGTTATCGAAGAGGACAAAACCTTCTGGCTACAGCAACTTCAAGGAACGAGCATCTCACGTTTCCCAAACTTATGCCCCGTCAGAGTCAAGAGTACTTCCAGTCATGTTTGTTCGACAGAAACGAGTTGGAGTTTGTCAAAGATCGAGAGCGGGTGTCGGAAATTGGGAATCTCGGTGAATTCTGCAGGGCAAGCTGCCTGGGCAAGGGTGCTCTCGGCGTATATGGGGGATACTGCTGTCACAATGGGAATCGGTAAGAGACCTTTCTCCAGGTCCTTTAAAAATGTCGATTCTGACTTTAAGTAGTGCTTTCGGGAAGATCTGGCGTTATTGGTGCCGAGAATGTGGCTTTCCCGTGTATCACAACTGTGCCTTCCCTATGTCTATTAACCGGTACAAACCTCGAACTTGCATTGGCTTTACAACATAGCAATGCACAGACGCTGAAGCATCAGCATACACCTCTTCGAAACATTCAAGGGTGGTTTGAGCATCGCCAAGAATCTTTCTTTGACTCTATCTTTGTGTACCAGAAGACAGGGTCTAGCAGCAAGAATTCATGGGAAGTTGTAGAGGAGGATGCTTTCGTTGACGTATGTTTTATTCCCCCGTTCCTATGATAATATTGACTAATATGAAATTTAGTACACGATCTCCTTAGAAATCGAACCCACAAATAGCGACTCCCTTCTTATCCGGGCAACATGTAGAGACAACGTCATGCCCAAGGAACAAACACAGTTGCTCATTCAGCAAGTTAATGCTGCATTGGTAGACATTTTACAGAACCCTAATAGCTCGAGCACAGAGTTCTTGAGTTTTCCGTCGGCATTGCTCTCATGTACCCCGCCCTTAATCGACGAAATTCCTACAGATATCACCTTGTTGCACAAATTCGTTGAAAAGTACAGGAAACTAACACCAGACAAAATTGCCTTCGAGTTTGCCACATCAATTCAGGAAGGGTGCGCGATCAAAGAAACATGGAACTATACCCAACTCGACGAAGAGGGCAACCGAATCGCAAACTACCTACTAAACTTTGGAGTCAAAACTGGACAAATTATTGCCATCTGCTTTGAGAAGTGCCCCGAAGCGTCATTCGCTATTCTTGGAATCCTGAAAGCCGGTTGTGCATTCATGGCGCTTGACTATAATGCACCCATTGACAGAAAGGCTTTCATTGTCGAGGACTCGGATGCGAAATGTGTGTTGACGATAGACAAATATGCTCAGGAACTCAAAAGCAAAGTTAAAGTGAGAGTTGTGTCTCTAGAGAGTGACACGGAGGTCAAAACATCTTCATCCGAAACTCCTTTTATTGCAGATCTCAAACCGGAAGACCTTTGCTACTGCCTATACACGTCCGGCACCACTGGAACACCGAAGGGATGCGAGCTCACACACGAAAACGCTGTACAGGCGATGCTTGCTTTCCAACGCATATTCAGCGGTCATTGGGATTCTGAGTCACGTTTCCTTCAGTTCGCATCTTTTCACTTTGATGTCAGCGTTATGGAACAATATTTCAGTTGGAGCGTGGGCATGTGTGTTACTTCAGCACCAAGAGACGTTATTTTCCAGGATCTTGCTCTCACAATAAACGAGCTTCAGATCACGCATTTAGATCTCACACCTAGTCTTGCGGCGTTGCTTCGTCCAGAAGATTGTCCTTCATTGTGTAGAGGCGTTTTTATCACGGGAGGTGAGCAATTGAAACAGGAGATTTTGAACACTTGGGGGGAGACAGGAGTAATTTATAACGGGTAAGAAGGACCTTATAGCATTCCGAAGAAATATATACTAACAAAATGCAAGATACGGGCCTACGGAAGTCACTATCGGATGTACAATGTACGCTAGGGTCCCGGCGAACGGGAAACCCTCCAATATCGGCACTGCATTTGACAATGTTGGTTCTTTTGTTTTTACACCCAATACAAGTCGACCTGTTCTTAGAGGAGCAATTGGTGAGCTGTGTGTTTCTGGAAAGCTGGTTGGACGTGGATATCTCAAGAGGGCAGCTCTCACTGAAGAGAAGTTCCCACACCTAAAGGAATTTGATACAAGGTATGAATACCCGCCTTTAATAAGAGGGTTTCCCGCTAATATTAGTAGGATATACCGGACTGGTGATTTGGTGCGCATTCTCTATGATGGTACTTTTGATTTCGCAGGACGAGCGGACGACCAGGTCAAGCTCCGTGGACAGCGCCTCGAGATTGGAGAGATCAATGAGACCCTCAAACAGGCAGACTCACGGGTCAAAGCAGTCGCCACACTGGTTCTAAGGCACCCGAAGCAGCAGAAAGATCAACTCGTCTCATTTATTGTCTTGGGAACAGCCAAAGCCTCCAGTACATTAGATCCAGTAGTCCTGGATGATCCTGAACATCACCAGGTCATCCCAATTTTGGCCGACGGATGCAGGAGAAAACTACCCGTATATATGGTTCCTACTCATTTCTTGCCTATATCGAAGATGCCATTGTCAGTGAACAACAAGGTCGATAACAAAAAGCTCACAGCAATTTATAAAGACACGTCTCTCGCACTTCTTCAACAAATCTCAAGGAGAGAGGAAGTTAATGAAGAAAATTGGACTGATAGCGAGGCTCGTATTCGAAAGATATTGGCCGAAATGACCGGATTTCAAACCTCGGAGATCAAGCATTCTTCGACTGTGTTCGAGCTTGGGTTGGATTCAGTTTCTGTGGTTGGATTAGCGCGCAGATTGAAGAAGGATGGATTTTTTGCATCGACTGTGTCTCTTGTCATGAAATGTAAGTCTCCAAATGATTTTGTGGTTACGATTCTGACAATTTGGAACAGATCCGGGTGTGAAGCAACTGGCAGCAGAGTTGAGCAACGGCGAAAACAATAGCTCAGAAGAACTTGCAAGAACAGGATCGATCAACCAAAAATTAACAGCATTTGCCAATAAAGGTTCCTTTGAGGTGTGCGAACACCTTAACCTTGAGCCGGATCAGATTGAGGCTATCGTTCCCTGCACAGCCCTTCAGGAAGGAATGATTCTTCGCTTCATCGATTCAGAGAAGCCTCTTTACTACAACTCCTTCTCCTTTTCACTTACAAAGCGTACAGATACCAACTTACTTCATTCGGCTTGGGATGCGGTGGTAAAATCCACTGGTGTCCTACGAACCTGCTTCTGCGAGACCTCGGATGGTTATGCTCAAGTCGTACTTAGGGATTCGGAAGTTCAGTGGCGAGAAATTAATGTCAAAAACGAAAACTCTCAGAGCGTGATCACCGGCGAGATGATGGAACATATTAGTATGAATAGGGACTTACACCAAACACCATTATACCTACTCCTTCTTCGAACACCTTCGAGAATAATCCTAGTAGTCAACATTTTCCATGCCCTTTACGATGGAAACAGTTTGCCTCTTATCTTCCAAGACGTCCAGAGAGCCTACCGAAACCAACTAAAACCAAGGACTCATCATTTTCACGAAATCGTCGGACATATTCTCTCTGTAGACATGGACGGTGCAAGTAAATTCTGGAAGTCTACTCTTGCGGAAGCCAAACCATCCAATTTCCCTCAACTCACTCAATCAGCCGCAGATATCGACCAGCTAGTGCAGTTCAAGCCAAAGATCGTAATGGAGGACGTTGAGAAGTGCTGCAAGAAATTGAATTGTACCCCGCAATCGGTATTCCAGGCTGCTTGGGCAAATACCCTTTCTCCATATCTGGGAACCCAGTTTGCTTTTGGAATCGTTGTCTCTGGGCGATCATTACCAATAGACGGCGTTGAAGATACTATCGGACCAATGTTCAACACAATCCCATGTTCCTTAGATGTGAAAAATGCCTCTTCTTGGGAGAAGCTAATTCAGCAAGCTCATAACTTCAATTCGGAGTCTATCACTTACCACCATACTCCTCTTCGTCTCATCAATAAGTTGATGCATGCTACTTCAGAAAAGCCACTTTTCGACACTTTGTTCGTGTACCAAAAAGTCCCAGGCAGCGATGATAGTACTGAGGCCCCTATTTGGAATATAATGGAAAGCTCGGCGGTAGCAGATGTAAGTCACCTTAATTTATATAATAGAAACATGCTAACAAGTTTTAGTACCCGCTTGCCTTGGAGATTGAAGAGAGTCACCTTCATGGGTTGAATTTCTCGATTGTTGCGAAAAGCTCGGTCCTCACAACTGACAACTCTCTTGGGTTACTGAGTAGCCTTGAAAGAAATATCAAAGAGATCCTACGAAGCCCCCTTAGCAAACCTTCTCTGGAGAAAACGCCCGAATCCGATCCCATTGCGCCAAAAGAATCCAATGATATACATACAAATGGACAAGCTGGCTTCCAATGGGGACCCGATGCAAAGATCCTTCGTACGACAATTGCCAAGCTTGCAGATGTCGGTGAATCGGAAGTTGATGAAGATTCCTCTATTTTTGAATTGGGTCTCGACAGTATCGAGGCTATCAAACTCTCTTCGAGGCTACGTTCCAGCAGCATCAAGCTTTCAGTCAGCACAATTATGAGAAACCCGACTATTCGAAAAATGCATGAAGTCCTCTCACAATCGACAAAGAATAGCAAAACCATTCTAAAGGCGAATCGACTTACTGAGTTTGAACAAAGCATCCGTGAGAATCTCAAAGGACGAAAGCATAACTTGGATTTGGATCAGATCGAAGCCATTTATCCCGCTACACCGCTCCAGGAAGGCATGATCGCGGAAACACTTGCATCTGACTATAAACTTTACTTCAACCACGATGTCTTGGAGCTCGACAGTACGGTTGATATAAGGCAATTGAGGAATGCGTGGGAATTAGTTTTCCAAAATAGCGAGATACTAAGGACGAGCTTCTTCAAGGTCTCTGATATATCTGTTGATTTACCATATAGCTTTGGCCAAGCCGTTCACAAACGACCTCAGCTCAAGTGGAAGGAGGTCCTCATATCATCAAACACAAGAAAAGCTATCAAGGCCGCTATGCAACAAGCCGCGCAAAACGTCGACATGCTTCAAGAGCCCCCGCTACAGATCACTATCGTAAAGTCTCCAAAGACAAATTATTTGATTCTTTCTATGTCTCACGCATTATACGATGGATGGTCTCTGGGTCTTTTGCATGAAGACGTACAAAATGCATACCTCGATTCACCTTCATCAAGACCGACCTGCCGTCCCCTTTTGGAAGATATATTCAGCGTGGATCCAAAAGATTCAAATAAATTTTGGAAACAGATGCTCGCAGGTTCCTCGCCCTCAATGTTTCAGAGATCTACTGAGAATTCCCCTGCTATTACCCACCGCTTTGAAAAGCCATCTTCTTTGCCATTTTGGAGGATTCAGTCTTTCTGTAAACAGATGGGAGTAACGGTTCAATCACTTGGACAAATGTGTTGGGCACTTCTCTTGGCTCATCACCTAGGGGAGCCTGATGTTCTTTTTGGTACCGTTCTTTCAGGAAGGGATATCGAGTCGGCAGACGGAATGCTTTTCCCGGCAATGAACACGGTTCCTGTGCGTGCTATTGCTCATGGAGACTACAAAGACATGCTTCGCTACATGCAAGACAATTCTGCGAGAGTTCTTAAATATCAGCATACGCCTCTACGTCAAATCCAAAAGCTGGTGGATAGCCAGGGACAACGACTTTTTGATACTCTCTTTATTTACCAACGTGGCCGCGAACCCAGTGAGAGTAGCCAAAAGCCATTATGGAATTCAGTCGATGGAGCTGCAAACGTTGAGGTAAATCTTCTTTAACCTTTTACAATCATTTTGAAGCTAATGGGTCTAGTACAATATATGCATCGAAATGGAGCACTGTGGGGATAATCTTCTCTGGAGGAACGCCTGCAAATCTACCGTGCTGTCAGAAATCGATTCTGAATCACTTCTTCAGACGCTTGATTCACTTCTGCTGCATATCGTCAACAATACCGACCATCCAGCCATGGTGTACCATAAAGAAGGGATCTCATTTGGAAATATCCCTATATGTGCCCGCCGCTCGGACAGCACCACGAGTCTCAATGGCCTACGTATCGACCTTGACGAGACAGCTAAGAAAATCCGAGAGGCTCAGAGCAACACAGGAGATGCTGCAGCTATTATAGCGAGTAATAACGGAAGGCAATTGCTAGTCGTTTTCATTACCGGGGAACAATCTGTTCACAACGTAGCATCATTTGCCCGTCACGAATTCCCCCACTGGTCGATGCCATCTTTCATAATTCCCATGAGCACATTACCTCATAAGGATGGTAAAATCGATCGATCGCAGCTAGAATCCCATTTCCGTTCAATGAAACTCGAGGAACGCGACGAATTTGCTGTACAGGAAAAGAAAGGCGAATGGACACCATTGGAACTCACCCTCCGCCGTATTCTATCAGCTGTTTCTCAACTACCAGAGTCTGAAATCGGTCGTACACAGACAATCTTCCACCTAGGCTTAGACTCAATCAGTGCCATTAGCTTCTCCTCGAAGCTTCGAGAGCAGTCAATCTTCCTCAGTGTCGCCGAGATCTTGCGTGCAGCCACAATTGAACGCATGGCAGCCGTTACGAAAAAAATGAATGGTGAAGCTCCCAAGACTCTTGTGGACACGGAGGAGGCTTTGGAGAAGGCTCTAGGAGATATCAACATCAAGTCACTTCTCTGCGGAATCCCTGAAGCTAGCATAGAAAGTGTGGCGCCTGCAACCGCTGGTCAGGTTTACATGCTCTCTGCATGGAAGAACTCGAACTACACAATCTTTATGCCAACATTCACCTTCAGATACCGGAAGATTGAGCATTCTCGGATTCTCTCTGCCTGGGAGTCCCTTGTACGCCAGGAGTCGATCCTCCGTACTACTTTCCTAGCAACAGATAGCGAAGATACACCTCTTGTTCAAGTGGCCCTTAGAAATCCACCTATCCAAACCGAGTGGTATCAATCCTCGGCAACCAACAACGACGGCTTCATTAATTTCCTCAAATCGCAGGAGCAGAGCAAGCCTGTCAATTTGGAACAGCCTCCTGTCCGTCTCACCGCCCTCACCACGCCAATTGATACAATAGTCTTCCTGACGATTCACCATGCGTTATATGATGGAGTCAGTCTTCCACTCCTACTTTCGAAATTTCAAGGCTTCCTCGATGACAGCGTAGAACGTCTCCCAACCCCAGAACCCGAGGCCCCACGCTTCCTAGATTTCGTGACATTTACACATTCGCAAGATATCCAGCAACAGTCCCGCTTCTGGAGTAAATACCTAGATGGCGCCGTTTCCACTCTTGTTCCGCTCAAATACCCGGACATACAGACCCCTGAGAGAACAGAACTATTCCGAACCGGCGTCATCGATAAGAGCAATCTCCTCGAGAGCCGCTGCCGCACCGAGGGTGTCTCACTCCAATCCGTCTTCCTAGCAGCCTACGCAAAGGTCTACGCCTATCATCTCGATCTCAAAGATGGCCCCGTCAAGAGGAGGGAGGATATCATATTTGGTATCTACCTCTCCAACAGGCACCTCTCCACCCCAGACCTTGCCCTCATGGCGGCTCCCACTCTGAATCTTGTCCCCCTCCGAATTCGCTCGTCGAGAACAACTACTCTTATTCAGCTCGCTCGCCAAGTCCAGGCGGACCTGGCTGAGATCGGAAGCGCCGGTAATGGGACCGTGGGGCTGTGGCAAGTCGAGAAGTGGACGGGGGTGCAGGTTGATTGCTTCTTTAACTATCTGAAGATGCCGGTTGGAGATGAGGCGGCAGGTGCAGATGGTGGGATGGGTTTTGAGGATATGAAGGTTGACGTGAAGTCGGATCTTGGTGCTGCAAGAGCAGAACTACCAGGAAAGCCATGGATGGATAGCGCAAAGGTAAGCCCGACATCACTTTCTCCCCTTTCGTATCGAGAATGATTTTACTGATTCGTGCTGTTATTAGACACATTTGGATATCGAGGTTGCGGTCCGCGGTGACAAGGTTGATATCGGGGTGTTTTCTACTGCGCAGACCCTCAACAGGGAAGATGCGAATAATACTATTGAATGGATGCGTGATATCGTGATGGGTATTTTGTAGATTTAAATTTGATATCGTGGGGGTTGGTGGTTTGGGGGGGGGGGGGGGGGAGGCGAGGTTGTAAACTTTTAGTTTTGTCTTTTTTTTTTGTTTTTGGTATCTTTTTTGAGTTCAAAGTTTTTGTTCTGTTTTTTATTTTTGTTTTTGTCTTTGTTTTTCTATAGATTTTTTTTTATTTTGCTGTCGGTTTTGTTTGTTAGAGTTTCCTATGATAGTAGATTCGAATAAAAGGGAAATCGTTTCGGGGAATCGATATCCGGTAATACGGCAATTTCTGACCACATTTTAAATATCGACCGATACCAGAATCCGGAGGCCAGGCAGGCAGATCACAGCTTCTCATGCGGTAGGAGAGCTGCATACTCATTACTGCGAGTTAACATCAATAGCCACCACCCATGCCAGACTGTAAGGGCAGACCACGAGATTACCGATAGGGATGTTAGTCAATCAGTAGTTAGCAACACCGTATCCATATATAGCTATAGAGAGCAGGTATATATATACCAGACCAGCTGGTATACTCAACAACACCAGGGAGTTTCTCTCGCCGCGTGGGCTTTCAACCGGCGCCCTCACACCTTCGTCCGTTGATGTAGCTGCCGGCCGGCTGGGGACCGGCGTCTGGGGATGGGTACGTAAACCACGCTCAGTTGACTTGGTTGATGATAGAGAAAGAGTCCCCGAGCTGCGAAGACTGATACTAGTACTAGGATTCCATGGAAGAACCCTAACCCTGGTGCGAATGATAACCTGTGATGCACGAGCATTCTTATGTGGGCAACGTTCATTTCGCACTTGAATGGCAATGTGGGTATTTATTATTATGTTTATTATTGGTGTTTGGAGAATACTAAAACCACATATTCTAGGATCCTACTACAAAAGAAATACAAAAAGAAATACAAAAAACAAGACCTCCTCCTCCTGGACAGCTTGGCCCCCCTTAGCTGTGGGCATTCAAGCATCTCTCATCCCTGACCAACTAGCTAATTAAGTATCTAACCTACATTACTATCTACCTAAATTACGCATTCTTCACCTCAACCGTAACATACCCCCTCCCTTCCTTCCCCTCGAACTGCACCGTGCCCTCCACCTTACCATCCTTCTCGCACCTGCTCCTAAGGTCCTCGATCCCGCGCTGCAGATCGCCGCACAGGAGCTGCATGTTCTTCTTATTCCCTTTGGCCTTCACGACGAGATTACCCTTGCGCGCCAGCACCGTTTCCGTGACGCCACCGTTCTCGACGCAGAAGTTGTTGAACTGGCCAGGGCAGAGCGCATTGGTGGTGAGGCAGAAGCCGCGGCCGTCGGCGAAAGGGGAGAGGGCGCCGAGAGACTTGAGGTCCGAGACGGAGGGGGAGGAGCCGGTGGTGCGGCACTGGATAGCGGGGGCGCGGGGGGTGAGGAGGCGTGGGTGCGCTTGTGGCCGGTGGGTGACGGTGGGGTGTGCGCGGGTTAGGGTGAGTAGGGTGAGGGCGAAAGTGATAACGAAAAACTGCATGATGATATATATGTTTTTGCTGTTGGTACGCTGTTTATTATCAGTTGTTGTAAATTGTGGAGCTCTTTGCTGAAGCTGGTGTGGTGAGGTAGTTTGGTTATGGTTTTATAAAGGAGAGACTTGTGGCTGTCTGGGAGATCTTATATACCTCGAAGATCAGCGTCGGTGGAATGGAGTCAATTGAATTAACGGTTTCAGCACTATGTTGAATTATGTATCGACATTCTAACTATAGAAATGATATATCCTACTACATGTATCAAACGAACCGTAGATGTTTCAGGTCCCACTTGAATACATAGTTCTTTGAAAATGCAGCCCCGATAAAAACACAAAGACTTTATAATCCAGTCCTTATTCCCTAACAACAAAGAAGCGGGAAAGTTTTTCAAGATGACAGTTCGCAATATAGTACTTATCAGTACAGAGCTGGTCTTGAATGACATTTTACAAAATAGTACTCATAGAGCCGGTATTATCAATGAAAGGTCACTTTACTTCATGAATTCAAGTGGGACCCATTTGGGCCCTTAACTCGTTTGTTACGGTTGATGAGATACTACTACAAAAAAAAAGTATAAAAATTACGAATACAAGCCAAACTAACTCCTCCCAGCCATGAGCTGGTCCCCTATGGGCTCATCACTCCGCTCTCTTCTATAGCCTAGTTAATATGTAATCTAATAATACAACCAATCTCAACTACCACCCAGTGAGCTCAACCGTAACATCTCCCTGCCCCTCATTCCCCACAAACTTTACCTTCCCCGCCACGTTCCCATCCTTCCCACATCTGCTCACCAGCTCTTCGATCCCGCGCCGCAGATCGTCGCACCGGATCTGCATGTTCTCCAAGTGCCCAAAGGCCTGCACGAGCATGGTGCCCCCGCGGGCCAGCTGCACACCTACGACGGTGCCTCTTTTCTGTTCGCACCAGATGCTGGACTGACCACGGCAGAGCCTGGCGGCGGTGAGGCAGAAGCCGTTGCCGTCGGGGAAGGTTTTGAGAGTACCGAGATCCGGGAGGTGGGAGATGAGGGGGGAGGATTTTAGGGTGGTGCAGGTGTAGGTGTTGGTGTCGGCACGGGGGGTGAGGGTGGGATGTGCGTGGGTTAGGGCGAGGAGGGAGAGGGCGAGGGTGAGGAGGTGGAACTGCATTGTGGTGTGTACGTTGTTGTTGGTGGTGTTTGTTAAGACTTGTTGTAGTTTAAAGCTGTGGAACTGTTTTTCTGACGGTGTGGTAATGGTTTGGATTGTGGTTTGGTTTGGGGAGTAGTAGTACTGTAAGGCTGGCTGGGGAATGTTTTGTATTTATACTTTGAAGATGGGAAGCGGGCCCGGGATTTAGTAAGTCATTGAATTACAGAGGGTTTCATAATGCTAGGCCCAGGAATTCAAACGTTCTCAACTCATAGAACGATTCTCGAAAGATAGCCTACCTTTTCGGGCAATTACTTGAGAATCTCAGGCTCGGACTTCCAAAGCAGGCTATTATTTTAAGGTTCGAAGAATTACGCTTTATGTGCTTGAAAGCAATTTGAGCCTAGTATTATGAAACTTGCTGTAACGCGCTAGGACATTTTTGTTTGGATATATTTCGATTTTCTAAGTGAACTGAGCCTCCCATAGCGCTGTGAGTACTACTAGGATAGTTTCTGCAGCTGTAGTCTGTGGCCATGAATCATGATATGAGATGTTTCCTCAGGTACGTGGTCATAGTCCATAGTAAATTCAAAGTCCCCGCAAGCAAATCTCATTCGTGAGTTACAGTAGCCATAGTGTGGTCCACGCTCGAGACAGAGCTCAATCGTCTAGTGAGTTTTGTGTTAACTTTCCAAATTCCCTGTTATAGAAGCATATACCATCCCTCGGATTCTCTCCAGTACAGTCTCGTCAATCTTTGTTAGCAATCTAAATCGCAAATCAATAAATATTAATATTTGCTTTGATTAAATTCCATACCAGCATTAATTGCACTTTTAACAGTAAGATACAGCTCTGATAGGTCTGAATATAGTAATTATCTACCTCGTGGCATTGCCTCTCTTTGCACGATCGAGGGAGCAAAGGCATATATATACATGGGCCATACAAAGCAGAGGCAACTCGAGGCACTAATCTCTGCTCGCCTCGAGCAGCCTCACGGGCCACACTAATTGGCCATATATATAAAGACTATCTCCAAGGTCCATCCTCGAGGTATATTTAATACAATCTTTGATAGATACTTCTATATAAATATCATATCAGCCCAGGCAGCTGTAGTACTAGGCCATACCAAGCAAGCAATACCACATCCGGCGATAACCGGTAGCCATTCGGTTCCAACTACAACTAAAAGTTCCTTTTTCTAAGTAATTAACATCCTTACTTGGTGTAATCCGACCAGATAGTAAGTAATATCTCGGCATCTTCCGCTCCGGCGCTGCGATTCGTAAATCATAACCCAATTACAACTACCACCGCCCTCGACTCCGATTCGAAGACCACCCGCAACCCTTCTATGTACAGCGAGGGGTAGAAATATGGGAGGAGTCCTATTGGCTTAAGCAGTTACCTCTCGCTGTAGCTATCCCATACCGATCGGGGAGGACTAACTCGGCCTAGCTAGATACGAAGAAGTATGTACTATACTCTATATATGTAGGTACTCTATATTCGTTTTCATAACTCACACGCGGCCCTAACTGTAACCAATCCAGAATTAAAACCCGCAGCCCCTCTCCCCCCACGATAACCCGCAGCTAGGCAGCTCGATCGACCCCGCACCAGCCAGATTGGACGATCAACAACTCCCCCGGGCGAGGTCAATGATTGATCGTGCTGGTAAAGCCAGATTGGATGATCAACAAACCACATAGCCAGAGGCCAATGATTGATCATGCTGGTGAAGTTTCTTCTTCGTACGTAGGCAGGCAACGTACGCAGGCTGCAAAGTGCAGATTTCCATCTTAGCTGCCTTAGCTTGACCGACGCCACATTTTCGGCAGTTTAGTGCTCGATGACTGAAATAGCGCTGTGAGAGCATTGGAGGCAAGTTAGAAACACATTCACGTGCCCCGGCACTTTTGGGTGGAACTTGCCCCCCGAGTAACTACATTGAGTAGACACTTGCTACGTAGGCATAGACAAAGCAAAGCCATAATAATGGCGTATGTTTTTTTTTCGCTCTCTAGCTAGAGCAGAGTACAGGTGCAATTGCACGCACGTTTCAAATGTCACGCTAGCACTGTCCAGAGAAATGTTCAGTTTTTCACACGTGTTGTCACTACACGTGCACTTGTTAGTGTGCAAGTTTGTCGGCATATATTACGACTCATCCTAGATAATGACAAAATCAAAACCAAAATCATTTACGATATTGTATGAAACAAGCTAGTAGACACGGTAGTCAGGGTTCGGGGTCTCGGTACTGAATTTTATCCAAAATTTCCCACAAGCTAATTGACGTACCGAGAAGGTGATTCCCGTACACGTAAACAATATATAGTGAATACACTACGCTCCTCCCACGGCCGCAGGGTACGGAAGATACCTGCCAATGACTAGTCATCTTAAAAACTGACACTACTGTGGATCAACTCAGACCATAAACGCTTGAAACTCTGGCCACTGAAATGCCCACTTCTGCCGGGAACCTATATCTCATATTCACTCTACATCAAACCGTTTCAGTTCACCACAAATCACTCGCCCACTTCACCACTCCACTGTATCCCTAACCCATCCCCAGATACCCGGCCTACCCGAAACACAAAAAACCAAACAAGCCAAAACAAAAAAAGCTTCTATATCGCATTACCACCCGACACCAGCACAACTACGATTACGCCTACATACACCCACTGCTACCACCACTAATACAACCCCCTCTGGGTAACCATCCACACTGTGCTCAAACTGCTCACACAGATCGGCCCTGCCAGCCCCGCGCCCCACGACGCAGTCCCAAAGATCAACCACTCGCTCAAAAAGTGCCATCCGGCAATGATGTAACTCCAGATGGCGAGGTCGTAAACGACCGGGTTCGTGATGTTGTACGCTGCGTACAGGCGCAGCACCGAGGCCATGAAGGTCCATGTACCGAATGTGCGGGACGACAGCCAGTTGACTTTTTGGTTTGTTTTGTCAGTAAACGGAGAAGATTGTTTTTTTTTTTTTGGGGGGGGGGTCAGAGTTACCTTGATCAGGACGTCCAGAATAGACGCGTTTGGTGAAGTGCAGGGTCATGTATGTCTGCACCGAGTTACCGACCGCGATGACGGACACCTGTTCGTTCAATTCAGCTCAACTCTCTTCTACTGGTGATTTCGGAGTGGGTGGACAAAACGTACGAGGAACATCCATTTAGGGAGCCAACCCTCGTCCTGGGGAAGATAGCTGAGGACTTGTGAAATCAGTTCAGACATTGTGATGTTTGTGGTGTTTGTTTCGGTGTTCGTTTGGCGGATGTACGGATTGTGGTATGGGCAATGTATGTATCTTGACAAAAAGCTACGTGGACTTACTGTAGTTGGTGCGGTTTATGGTGTGGTTGACCAAAGAGCCTCTAGCACTCCCTGTCCAGTGAGTGGACTGCGACCTCCCCTGAACTATTATGATCGTCGGGTTAGGGCTGTTTTCAAATCATTGAGCCGCGAGCGAGACATCACTTTTCAGGCAACTACATTCGACGCATGAAGCTACTTCAGCAGGCGTTAATAATGGGCTTAGATGAAACCGCCAAAAAGAGTTTCTTGTATCCCTTCATTTGAAAAGGATGTTAAATTTGCGACCCCGATGGGACTCGAACCCACAGTCTTTGCCAGGCGACCAGAAACCGGAAAGCAATGCGTTAGCCATTACGCTACGGAGCCATGATGAAACACTCACAAATAACTTTTATCAATGGATTTGCTAAGCGTTGCTGCCTACAGGTTAGTATACTCTTTGCTTCAGCCAACGAGACAGAGCCCTGTACAGCAGCAGAAACAAAGCCAACTGGAAATTCGTATGTAAGCAGCCCCGCCTGCAAGTACCAGAGCGTAGGGTCATGATTTCTAAGGGTTCAGATTTTATAATTCAACTAATCGAAACGCTTTTCATGATTACATTGACGCCGCAGATTCAGTTAGGGCCATGCTTAGTATTTACATACTTATACAAAGACATTAGTAGGATAACAACAGCCAGAAAACAAGGCTCCAACTCATGCGATATCTGCAGTCATGGTCTCTGAGACCTTGGGTAGGACAGATAAAGTTTTATAGCCGTTCAGATTAAAATTTCAATGGACGAAACCGCTTAGAAGGGGAATCTCTACAATATCACACCCTCCCCTTTGATACCATAGTTGAGCTCTGAAACCACTGATAACGATACGTAGAAAATAGAGCCTTAGTGTTATTAAATAGTCGTAAAACATAAATCCAAATAGTAGTAAGTAGCATAAATAATAAGATGGTTGTAGTAAGAAAGGTCTAAAACAATGTACCCCCCTGGTCATGCAAACGATATAGTAAAAAACGCCACCAACAAAGTAAAAGAAGGTCAATACCCTCATCAAAACAATATAAATAAACAACAATAACTCCAAACGCTTTGAAAAAGTGAAAGAAAAAAAATTACAAAAACGCTGTACTGCTCATGTAGATGCAGGAGGCGCCTCTGGTTTTCGCCCTCGTACAACGACCCTGTTCCGACCGTTAGTTACCACGTACTCTCCGTGTTGAAACTTATATGCCCGGGAGATCAAGACTTACAGCCAAAAATATATCCTCAGTTTCCTATTCCTCCCATCTCTTTTCGCGTTTTCTAACAACTCCCGTACCTCCTCAACTCCCATCCCCAGAACCCTTGTGAAGAGCGCCAAAGAATATCCCTCTAGGCCTTCCATAAAATTGATCATATTATACCTCCCAACCTCCTTCCCCCTACTATCGCTTTCCCACGGACCTAGGGGTATCCGAAACCGCGTTTCCTGAACATCCACGAACCCTGCTTCCTCCATCTGTAACTTGAATGACTCGTCGGAGAACGCACGTCCAGCATTCAGTGACGCCAATTTCAGGAGGGAGAACACCCGGAAGATTGGGAGGTCGGAAGGAGGCGGGATGGCAGTGTCGGTAAAGGGGTTGGCGGGTGTCTCCTGTAGTTCAAGCCAACCACCCGGGCGGATATGACTGCGGTCTAGGTTAGTATCTAGAACTAAACAGCTAGTAAGGGTATTGCGTACTCATAGGCTTGCCGAAAAAATCGAGGCCAATTTGTTATTCCTCCGAGTAGTTGTCTAGTATGGATGAAGTCAAAATTGTTGATAGGGTATAACCAATCCGACTCTGCGTCTTCAACATCGAAGCTGCAGTTCGCGGGAGGTGAGACTTGGATTGGTGACAGGTCGTTCCCGATAACTCTAGCATTTGGGTACTTGCTAAAAATTCCATCGCGTATTAGCACCTCCACTACCTAACCCCTCTAAGACATAAGAATGTAACTCACAATGCCATCTCAATTGCCCAAATACCTGTCCCAGTGCCTACATCCAAAATCCTCCTCGGTTCCTTCAACGGTGACAGATGGAGCTCATTGTCTAGCAGTAAGAACATTATCTGATGAATCACATCCATTCGGTCTTGTTCCTGCTGGTCATTGGGTACCAAATAGTGGCCATCACGGTAGGCATGGTATCGACGGTTGTGCTCGAAGCGGTAATTGCTTGCTGAGGACGCGTTTGAGCGCACAGCTGAGGTGCGGGAAGAGGACGTGGAGGGAGTGAAAAAGGAGTCGCTGGTACTGAGGATTGACGACTGCGGGATAATTAGCAACGAACACTAGGTCCTAAAGAAAGAGTAATCAGGTAACGTACATTGCCGTCGCAGTTCGCTTTGTTGGAGTATTCCTCACTATCTTCGCGATAAATCTGTGGTGAAACTACCAATTCTGCCATTTTGCGATGTGTATATATGTGAGTACCGTTAATGCTTTATAGGTGTTGTTCAAATCTTCTCCTAGGTCGGTCGAGTGAGGGGATGATATATAGCACGAGTTGAGAAGGAGGGACTCTAGCAGAGGTCTTAATAACTAGTAGAGTTTGGATAGAGGCAGCGCGGCAGCAGTATCTTTGATTAATTTTACTGGGTTGTAGGCTGTTTGATATGTAGGGATAAAAATACCCGCCCAGAGAAAATCAAATTCCGACGGAGTGGGTGAGGAGTAGATTTGCGCTGGCTTCCTTTCCGAGGGAGTGGAACCTTAGCTCCCCTTTATCCCCAACAAACCCACGCGCTCGAACCCCCTTCACCTCCCCCTACATTCTTCAAGCACAATAGAGCACACATAGAGTATGTGTGACAGCTTCATGCCTTTGGTTTTCCCAGTGGATGGTGGATCGTGGGAAGAGGGGTGCATGTTACGAAACAGAAGTATGATAAAAAAATATTTTCCACTTGGCCGATTTACCGCAGAAATTCTCATGTATGATCGTGTCGAGAGACGTTGTTACGATTGCCAGCGGACAAGGAACCAGGTACAGTAAGTGTACATACATGTAGGTATGTACACATCTGTTCCGATGATTTGGTTCCAGTGAACCGCCAATGTGGAAGAAGCCCGTGCGTAGAACATGGGTGCCCGAGGGGGAAGATGGTGAATGCGTCCTGCACACAAGTATGTATGCGTTTAATGGAAGGCAAAAGAGAAGAAACGGGCAGCGGGCCGTCAAATGGTGGAATAAATCATTTTTCCTTTGATTTGCCACAGTTTCCAGAGGTGCCACACATAAGTACCAAACATCTTCTTTCCAAGAATTCAGAGCTGTGTATCCGCCGATAAGTGGAACATCACATCACATCACATCACATCACATCACATCACATCACATCACATACCTATTATCACACCACTCCACCTTAGAGGCCAGCCTGATAGAGTAGAGTACCTACGTAGAGGTAGGTACTCTGGGTACCTACATCTTATGTACCCCATGGCCCAAAAAGCCACCCCTGAAACCCCCTGCAGGTCTCAAAAACTCCGCACCCGTAACAATCCTCCTTTTTTTTCATGCATAAAAATAATAATAAGGCCCATTATTGCAGGATCGAGTGATCGGTGTAACCTAAAGCAGTGGGAAAGTCGTTGCGGTTGTTGGGAGTGTCGAGTGACTTTCTGTGTATTGGCGTCGTCAGGGGTTGGTTGGTAGGGCGAGTTTAAACTGTTTACGGGGAGGTTAGCGTCGGTTATCGGTTACACAGGGCCAAGGGTACCCACACGTAAGTACTGAGCCAGGAAGTTCGAAACAATAGTAAGACTCTGGATATCTGCTACATGACATCAATAGAAGGGACCACCAGCCCTACTACATGTACCTAGTCTCTGCAGTATATATGTAATTAGTCCGATTACCTATGGCCATCTCCTCGGGACACCCGATTTCTTCCTTTTCTCTTCCGCACTAGCCTCTCCTTGCATTATGACTGGAACCGCACTTTATGAAAGGATGAGCGTGATCGGGTTATGATCGTGGGTGAAGCGGACTTGCAAGCTCCGCTTCTTTGTTTCTTGACTGGAACTCGGATCAAGGTGGCAGCCAGTAGTGAATGTCCACGACGTGTGGCCGAGCGGGGAAATGAAAGGTCGAATCCACGAGTATCAAGACTAACAAGCCAGCACTTGATAACAGGAAGGGGGGTGGTAACTGTGTTTTTTCCGAATACTTCCCTCTCAACCAGAAAGTCTTTTCCAGAGAAGTGAAGTCGGTGAAACAAGGACTTCTCTACACTAACCCTAACCCTAAGGACAAATTACCTCGTCATATGGTGGACCTGAACCCCGTGTAACGAATGGTGACTAATTAGGAGAACTGAAGGTACAGGGTTATTCTTTAGGTGTATCAACAATATCTAAAGCTACACCGTTTCTCCCAGAAATTGGATATTTTTAATTTGAGAACGACACTCAGCTAGCTGCTAAAAGAAGACTATTATTTTTATTATTCCAAACGAGTGTGAAAAGAACTTGAGTGATTTACCATGACCTCGGCCGTCAACGATCTTTACTAACGGTATTATACTTTATTTATACCCCAGAAATGTCCTTGAGATGTGAGTAGTATTTGCATTAATAAATATTGTTTTGGTTGAAATCTAATGACGTTTACTTACTTGCTTTAACCTAGGTCGAGTAATTTAAATTGGTACTTAGTACCTGCGTTCATGATCACCTATTCGTGTATTTTGAGCCAAAACTATACCCCATCTTGGGTGGCAGTGAATGATCCGTAAGATGTAATGTTTCGAGGTCAAGCATCCCATGGCAAAAATAAGACCAGTTCCCGCTCTCCTTTGAAACTGCCTGCCTTGTCGAAAAACTACTACAACCAAAGTGTCTACAAATCAGAGTGGACATTGAATTTGCAATTTTAAAACATTTAGCA